ACAGCGCTATTCACCTGATAAATCGTTATCCAGAGGATAAGCATGACGAAAACCAATTGCGCTATCCGTTGGATAGTGGTTTATCCAGTGGATAGCGCTATCCACCTTTTGAACAAATAGGGCTTCGTCTTTATTAGTCGTTGGTCTAGAGTCTTTTGTAGGTCGTTAATAAAAAAAAACTTTGATCTATTTTGTTGAATACGACAATGTTGTTGTTGAGTTTTTGTTTGCGCTCTACTTTTATGAATGGCATGCGTTCGAAGAAATTGAGAGAACTTGATCTAGTATAACCAGAGAGGAAACATTCTTTAAATTCTATCAAAATATCCCTTATACAAACCCAATCGCTTGTAAACGTCTCTGTAATTTTCAGAGGAAGTGACAGAGAAAGTCAAGCGTTTTAAACAATAGAATTTTGACGGTTGAAAGTAATTTGCATAACTTCAGCGCGCATGTCTTCCAGCTGACATAGCCCCTTTAAGTTTGGGGATGAAGAACGTCGTGTTCCAAAAGTCCGAAATTCTTTTGATTCTGACTATTAGAATAACTACGATCACACACCTTGCTAAGCCTGAATCCATAATAAGTATCGTGAAAAACTTTACCAACAAAAATTTATCCTGCTAATCATAAGATTACATTATAGTTTAATTATACTTAATACTTATATTGTATATCTGGCTTGCTTCTCTTTGTGTAGTCTCCATGTGACAGCTCGCCCTGTAAGAACACTGGCAAATGCATTCCCTTGTACCAGAAAAATGGATATAAGTGTACCTGCGTGAAAGGATTCACGGGACGAAACTGCGAAACGAGTAAGCGATACTTGGCTGAAACAAGTATAAAATTATGCTAACTTTTTGTTTTCTCTAAACTGTCTCTCTCTTGAAAGTTAAATCACAGGGGGCACATTATTAGAGAACTTTGCCAGTGGAGAAACCCTGAGTACTACTACATGTTGCGGCGTATTTCAATTTTTGCTGAAGTCGTATGTACTGCTAGAAATTGCGGAACATTCTGTAAAATACCTTTGCTTTGACTCTCTCCTACAGATATAAATGACTGTGTCAATATCACTTGTTTGAACAATGGAACTTGCATCGACCTAATTGATGGCTTCAACTGCAGTTGCCCTCCAGGATATGCTGGGAATCGATGCGAAATTGGTTAGATTCTTTTTGTTATTATTTGCATTGAATTTTTCGCCCATACGCAACATGTTATACCGTCTATACCGTGTAGCATGAAATTTTTGACGGACTTTTATTTTGAGGATTGGCGATTTTTTGAGGTTTACAGGAACAAATTTCTACGGCTCCAATTGACTGAAATTTCCGCTGGGATGGAACTAATTTTTGCCGGCGGTTTTCTTTTCGAGCAGCAAAACATCAACAAGGTATCGAGGATCGTAATATTTTCAACTTTTATTACTTTTTTTTAAGGTAAAACAGCAGTCTATACTTCTCAGACATTTCAGTCAACGACAAGCTGGTCGGTTACAACAAAACATTTCCAGTTAAGCTGTAAAAGCCCGACTTAAAATACAAATTAAAATACAACGAATCTAAACTCAGTCAATCAACACCTGTTGCGCAAGCAACAGCAGAAGCGTATCTAGAGCTACCGGTAGAGCATCGTTGTTCTTCAGTGTACCTCTTGTGCCTTAGACACTGGAAAAGTATTGACTTAAACTTTTATCGTTTTATCGTTTCGTTTTATTTGTATAGCAGGCAAGGTCCGATTGCTTTTTCTCATCAGGGCGAATATTAAACGAAACGTTCTTGTTTTATCCTGATGTATGGTACTAGCAGCACTGATGGATTAAAAGCTATTTTTAAATAGCGGTTTTTAATTTTGCTGGTTTTTTTTTTTGTTATCTGCCGGAACTTATTTTTGCGGATCAACGACCATCCGCAAAATCCACAAGAATTAAGCACCGTATAATAAAAGTGCTACACGGTACATCAGTCAAGTTATGTAAGTACCTAATATAGGTGAAGGTGTTGAATGCTGTTGGGTGATAATATACACGATCAATTTAAATCCTACACGAAGCCTTTACACCCAGCCGACAATGCGAGTTCAGCTGTCCCTCCTCATTCTTCCCCGCTAGAGGCGTTTCGTGGGAGAGATGTTTGCAGTTCAGCCAGCAAATTTATTGATTACCTACATCTTTCTGAAATCTGGTGATTGGTCGACTTTGTAATCTCATTCTTTTAGCTTTTGCATCGTGCGCGTTCGACGTTAGGAGAACTCAACCTCTAATATTTTGGATTCCTGTAGAACTTGCTTCTCCTCCCATAGTCAGGTACATGTGTTGCCTTTTCAACATTTTTTTTGCCGTACGTCTGCATTTTTGGCGCCGGAATTTAGTCATAGGTACATTCCCATTACCCTTGTTCGATCAAGAAAAAACAGATGGTGCAACTCGTCATTTTTCGAAAGCACGGAGTTATTTGATTTAGGCGAGAGAATTAATTTCGAGTTGTTTTTGAGGCGGGTTCTATCCCTGAGATGGCGATTCTGGCCTACCCTTCTCGGATGATACTTCATTGTTATTAGTAAGAGATGTTATACCGGTCAGATTGAGCTGAAACATCGTACCAAGACACAAATAAACACCAGGGCCCAGCTGTTCGAAGAGCACTATTATCGCTTGAACCCGGTGTTAAATTTTAATCTGGATTTCTCTTTCTTTTGCACGAAAGCATTTTCTCCTGTAATTTTCGCTATTCTTCAATTTAGAAACATTCCATCACCTCATTGTAGACAAAAATAATTAAACTGAATTTGTTTTTTTACGCTTTCATAGCTGAATTCAAATTTTGCACTAACTCTGGGTTATCTCAACCCACAATCTTGGAGAAAAATGTTGGGACAAATGGACATTACCATGTCTAGATTCAAGATAAAGCTTTTGAAAGCGCTGACAACTACAAATACTCTCCCTTGTCCACCCAAAACAACAACGTTGAAGCCGGGGTGGATCATTTCTAAACCCGACTAAACAACTTTGACCAGGGTGGGGCAAGGGGAGGGCCCTTAGAGGGATAAGCGTTCTGGAGGGTAAGAGAGTGCAAAATAGACAACACTTTTTGTCCAAGATTGCATCTTTGAACAACCTGGCTCAGTACAGGTAACAATTTTCATGCTCTTTATGCTCTGTTGAGGACTTTACCTGTGCGTTTGCTTCTATTTATTTTTTCCCACTGCACAAAACACATTCCGGGATAAAGTACGTTACGTTTACAGAATTTTACCCGTGTATTCCCAAGTAGTGCTTATTTCGACGTCTGATGTATCTGTGCGGAATTTTTTGGAGCTGAATAACGATGAACAGTTCGCACAATGGCAAAAGATTTTGTACCCTAAGCGATGTTTGTTTCGCTGACATCTGTGATCTCGCAGAGACCTAAATGATCTATCATTACTAGTTTACAATACACAAAGATCAAATGTAAACGGGATGAATCCACTAAAAACATTCATTATTGGTGGAGTACATCTTTGTTACATCTTCGTTACATCTTTGTTTACAAGAAGACATTTGAGTTTTGCTGTCACACGCACGCAGAAGAACTGGAAACTTGACGATAATAAACGAACCCCATGATTACCAGCGAGACTGATTATGTAAACATCGATTTACGTCATTAGCTGCACCAAGGGCCCAAAAAATAATAAATTAAAAAACTGAATAGAAAAAAATAAAGAAATAGGGAGGAGGTAGAAAGGAACCTTTTCTCCCCTTCCCCTCTCCCTACTTCCATTTTCTTTGCTCTCGCTTCCACTTTCGAGCGCGGAAACGCTTGCTGCCCGAATAGGTGACGTTTCTCCCGCAAAAAGGTCCCTAGCACTGGGGAGCAAAGAGTTACGGCTGTATTCGCCGATCTGAGGGTGTCTGTCGTCCGTTTTGTAATATGTCGCTGCCTGGCAGCGTCACCTACATTCATTCGTCTGAATTATAGTCTAAACAAGGCTAATTCCGGCAAAATTATGTTCTTCGTATTCATTTTTAGTTAGCTTGATGGACGGCCTCTTGGCCTGTGCATATTCTCGAGTTTAAGATGTTTCGATATAGGTTTTCAGAGGCCATACCGATATTTTTCAATCACTTTAAAAGTGATTTTATCCTTGTCCGATCGCTATAAAATTTTCACCAGTAAATGGCTGTGGATTGAAATTTGTGAAAATGTAGTTTTAAGTAAAATCGATAATATATACTATTAATTTGGACTTTTATTAGCGCTTTTTTGTATATCTCTAAAACGACTCAAACGAATTTTTTTTTATTTTTTTTCCCATAATCTTCATAATGTATACAATAACGTCTGAAACTTTAATTAAGATTGATTCACTGCAACATCTTGAAATTTCAAGACAAACCTATCCTACGATCCTGTCAAAAATCCGCGCTACAACATTCAGTGTTTTGACGTTATGCTAATTCTTTCAAATTAATGCATGCGGACAATACATATATCCCTGACTAGTACATTTCAGTGTGAGCATTGTCAATGTTTTAAGTTCAAAAGATAAGATAAATTCACACTAAACTGTACTATTCATGGAGGTATGTATAGTGCGCATTATTTTGGAAAATTAGAATAACATCTAAACAGTGAATGTTCTAACGCAGATTTTTGATAGGTCCGTAGGACAGGTTTGTCTTGAATTTTTAAGGCGTTGCAGTCGTGAATCAATCTTAATGAAAGTTTCAGACATTATTATATACATTATGAAGATTATGTGAAGAGATTTTAAGCAAATTCGTTCGAGTCGTTTCAGAGATATACAAAAAAGCGCTAATAAAAGTCCAAATTTTGAATGACGTTGCACTTATACAGGTGGTGAGAAAACGGATTAGTTTTCAAGATCGCAAGAACGAAAATACTCCAAAATTTCCTAGCATCAAACTATGAGATTAAGCAGCATTTTCAAGCTACTGAAGAATAATTTGAGTCATTTATAACGTTTTTATTGAATAATCTATAACGGCTATTGAAAATTTAAGGTATGAAATATATTTTGAGTCGTTTTAGTCGAATTCAAACATACAGAATTTTTTACTCCTTACGGAGACTGTTTGCTGAACACCAAACTGTGAGTTCCTAGTGTTGGATTTTCAGTAGCTGGTCTAGTTCACACAAAATTCGGCTTGTATCATTTTCAAAGTTTTTTGTTTATCGTTATCGCAGTAACATCGATTTTACTTAAAACTAAATTTTCACAAATTTCAATTCATAGCCAATTACTGGTGAAAATTTTATAGCAATCGGACAAGGAAAAAAGTCATGATTTTTAAGGCGATTGAAAAATATCGGTATGGCCGCTGAAAAACTGTATCGAAACACCTTAACCCTGAAAAATTGCGGCACGTCGTTGCTCTATGTTTCGCCACGAATAGCTGGATGATGTCTGCAAGAGATATAAACAAGTGAAACCAATTCCTATTTTCTCTTTCACCCAGATGTTATCTCGACTGTGGTAAAACAGTTTCTTTCCCCTGCGATTGGGAATAACAGCAACTGGGCTCTGTGTTGGCAGGCCTCCACTCATGGCTGGGCTGCCAGTACCTTCCACAGCAGATGTGATTGGAAAAATCACACGATTGCAATCATCAAAAAAGGCTCGTACGTGTTCGGAGGATACACTGATATTCCTTGGGGTAAGTGGGTTTTTATCCCGGGGGGATGGCTAGTGTATGAAAGAGTTGGAGATACTCTTTGGGAAAATAAAAATTAAAGCTCTAGAGGACACCAATCTGCGGGGGGGGGGGGTTAGGCTTTATTTGACCGCCAAAGAAGGCAACCAACTCCTAGAGCCAATGAAAGTCAGCCTACTTTTGAGCAAAGGCTCACCTTCTCTACTGCTGAAATACTCTCAAGAAGAGGACCTTATGTCGCATCACCCAAAAAAATGTGAATATATTAATCATCATGTAGCGCGGTACGTTCAAACTTGATACTTTAACCAGGGGGTTGAACTTAAAACGAACCCGTTTACAAGACACTCGTTTCAGTATTTTTGCAGCATATAGCTTATATACAAACGTAGCAATCACTATAACATCTATCATTATTTTTATTCCTTGATGAAGATATGGTGGCTTTCTTCGCACCATTTGGCCTACATTTCTTCGATATAAGAGGCTACCATCTATTTTAAGTTTCTTTAATTGCTTGTGCGCGTCTGATGAATTCATCATTTCCGAATAAATTTTACGCACATACCCTTGCAGATCAGATTGTTTACAAAAGGTCTGAATTTGAGTGTTCTTCGGCTGTGTCCTGATCTGTTTAACTCAACAAGAAAGAATCAAAGTGATGAGATAAATGAACTCATCACCAAGTGTACTTTTGACTTTCCAAAAATGTAGGGCTTTGTCCCAATAACTGGATTCATCTACAAGGTTCATGCTACAAAGTCTCGTCAAAGAGTTTGAACTGGACCGCTGCAAAATCTGCTTGTGAAGCTATGGGGTCTAAGCTCGCTATGGTGACACCAAAAGCCAAACAACAAGCACTTGCTTCGAACATATCACAAAGAGTATGGATTGGTTTGTACAGGGATCCCAAAGACGATTCACGTTGGTTGTGGGTTGATGGATCAAGAGCGACATATACTAACTGGAATCCTGGAGAACCCAACGACCTGGGAAGAAATGAGGATTGCACAATGATGTTTCCTTCTAATGGAAAATGGAATGATTTAGCATGTTTCAACAGTCTTAAATACCTCTGTGAAACCAGTGGTAGGTGATACGTCAATTACGTGCATAATACTTTGAACTTATCATAGTGCACGCAGTGCATGACTCTAGGAAGCGTGCAATATAAACGCATAATGAATTACTTCGCGAAAAATGGTTAAATTATTATTATTTTTTTAATATTAAAAGAGCCCTAGTAATCTAGCTCCCTGTAAAAGGGCTCCGATAGAATTAAAACAGAAAAATTAAAGGAATAGAGTAGTAAGTTTTAAGATGCTTGGCACAAACATTAAGGCCTCTATCGTTTTGCTTGACTTTACTAAATTGACAATCGGCAAGAGAGGATAAAGGATAGTGTCAACTATCGCCCAAAGGAGAGGTATTTATCAAGGACTATGCACCAAATCTGAGAGTGGGGGTGGGGAGGGTGGTGTTTGTTTTGGCTACCGAATTTGCTTCATTTCTATGATCTAATGAGAATTTCTAAAGGATCATTGGAAAGGGGATACCAAAAGGAAATCGTGAGAAAGTATACTCGGCTTTGTTTGAAACTTATTACACCACGGCTTACCAAAAAGAAAAAAAAGCATAAATACAGTTGAACCCCAACTGAAACTTTCATAGCTATGAGCACTAGAGAGCATAAAAAGCTGCTCAAAACTGGGAAAAATTGCAAATTTGCCATTTAAAAAGTGTTTCAGAGTATGAAGAGATTTTGCTCTCAAGTAGTTTAAGGCCTGGGACTAAGGGGTTTACCTGTGGAAAATTATTTATTGGCTAAAACTTCGGCACAGAGATCATGGCATCGTCCTTAACATTTTATAGGAAAAATATTGTGTTAATAAGTCACGTGACATATTACGTGACCATTTTGCTAAAAATCTTAAATTATTGACCAATTAGTGGCCGGTTTAAGAAAAAAAATCGAGAGAAACATTTTTCTAATTCTTATTAAATATTTCTAATACTTCAGGTTTCGAATGACCATCCATTGCACTTCAATAAAAAAATTATAAGGGAGAACATCATTTAAAATGCCCTAATTGGATCTTGAATTATTTAAAACTTTAATTCTTAACTTTGCGTGCATTCATTCCAAACGTAAAAAGTTAGGTATGTTTATCTTCTTTCAGAAATGCCAATTTGTTTGTCCAAACAAAGTAAATTCGCCACCATTCAGTTTTTGGTCACCTGACATGTCAAGTGGCCATGATTAAACTTTAAGGCACAAGAAAACCTCAAGATTTACTTTTGGCCAAAAATTCATTTTTTTCTAGATCTCCTAGCGAGAGATATTGCCAATCATTCATATGCTCCAAACACAACTTTGACCCAGGCCTTAAACGTCTTGAGTAATTTTTTTTTTTTCTTTTAGATAAGAAGAAATATGGCGGCTATTTCTAATTTAGCCATATGGTCTTTGCAAACCTTTATGGATTCTTCCACTTATTTTCATGGTTTAAAGCCGTGCCAAAAAAAAAAAAAAAAAAAAATCAGTAAACTGAAATATGTCCTAGCACAGTTTTAGCAACAAGTGTCTACTTGCAGAATGCTATAACAAGAAACAAAAAATTTTGTCTATAAAACGACGGAAAAAAATAGCAAGGCAAGAGCCTCCTTGACTCCTAAACCCTACCTATAATGGCCTATGCATGAAGGCTTCTCCCTAAAGAAGTACCTTTTCAGGGTTTAGGTATATGCAAGAGTAGAGGTTTCACTAGTTGAAGTATATGGAAGGGAAAGAAAATCTGTCATTGCGGTCTTGAAAGGACCTAAAAAGGTTAAAAGACTATGAAAAAGACAAGAACCGTTCTGGTTGAGAGATTTATTCATATTTAAAAGACGGTCCATTTACAGTAGCTTAAAAAGAGCAGGGGCACCCAACGAGAATATAGTTCAAAACCACTTAAACATAGAATTGTTAAACGCATTTTAGTATTTAAACGGTAGATATAGGCATATTTTTATCCCCTAAAAATTTTTCATCTGTTCAGATTTCCTAGCTGATAGTCTAGTGATCCGAAAATTATAGGGATCAAAACTTACCTTTCCGAAAATTTCAGCCAGGAAAAAGGCTCCCGAAAATTCTAGGTGACCTTTTTAGGGTAAAAATCCGTTAAAAATAGGCAATTATACCATTTTTTAGATGTTCGAAAATCCTAGGAGAGGTAGGCAAGCAAGAAATCTTACAACAAATGTCCGAAAATTCTAGATATCAAATCGTCTTCCGAACAGATATTTTTCCGAAAATTGTCGTTGGGTGCCCCTGAAAGAGGTGCAGGGGTACTATTTGTCAATGGAAGGTATACGATCCCTTTTCTGTCAAGGAATGGTATAAAGAGTATAATTTTTTTTAGTATCCCCGGGTCCAGAAGCTGCAAATTTAGGAAAGACAGTAAAGCAGCAAGGATCTATGCGCAACTGGCTAAACGGGTTTTAACCATGAAAATCGCAAATATGGTAAGGAAATCGTTAAGGCAAATGACAAAGGCAAATTCCGCAAATTTAGCAATTATTGCAAAGAAAAAGACGATTTTCTAAAACTGGCAGTGCCTAAAAGGTTGACGTTATCAAAATTACAAATGAAAGTGGAAATTATCCTCAAATTAAATGAACAACCTAAGCGGCTGAAAAAGAACCGGAAAAAAAAAAACAAAGAAAAACAAATTTAGCAAAACAGACAAAAGTTAAGGCGCACGACATAAGACATTAAAGGGAATAGAAGGGTTTCGTCAAGCTGCAAATTTGCTAATAATAATAATCATCATCTTTATTGAGGAAACTTTTTCATAAAAGATATGGTTTTCAAAAAGGACCTCAAAACTAGATATATATTATAAAAACAAAAAAAAGCTATAAAATTGCAAAGGGATTAAAAAGATACAAAAAATGCATAAAAAATTAAAAATATGTATAAGTAAAAATTAAACGTAAGTAGCTATATCAAAAACTTAAAAACATTACGTTTAAAACTATTTACATTCCTCGAGTCTTTGATCGTCTGACTGAGGGAGTTAAAATCGGAAATGGCATGATATTGTGTTCTTTGCTTCCCCAATTTCTTTTGACACGTGGTAATCTAAAATTGCCTTTGTTACGTGTATTATGCCTATCAAGTACGTCTTGTCTAATCAAGTCCATATCGTGATTAATTAGGCCATTGATGCATTTGTATACGTGTACACACCTTCTTTGAAATCGCCTTTTCTCTAGAGGCAGCCACTTGAGAACGGCTAATGCCTCAGTGGAGGATGAGTACAATGGTCTATTTAAAATAACTTTAGCGGCCCTATTTTGCAAAACTTGCAAACTAGACATAAGGGTAATATTATGTTTATCGCCCCATACTAGATCAGCATATTAAAAAGGGGCATAACAAGACTTTTATAGAAAAGTAGACGCGCCCTGAAAGGCAATAAATGCTTTATACGCTTGAGAAGCCCAAGCCTCTGATTGATTTTCCCAGTTAGGTGTTTAATGTGATCAGTCCATGTGAAATCCGAAGATATATGTATACCGAGGTATTTAAAGCTGTGAACATTACTTATACTATGATCTAAAATTGAAACAGTCAAATCTACTTTGCTTTCGCGTTTCCTATTACTACCGATAAGCATGCATTTAGTTTTGTCCAAATTTAAAGTCAGTTTGTGATCATGCAGCCATTTCGCCACACCCAGTAGATCGTTATTTAACTTATCACTCAACTCCTTTGAGGATGTACCATAGCAATAAATTACAGTGTCGTCTGCATAAAGTGACGCGTAGCAGGAGTGAAGCACATTTGGCAAGTAATTTATGTCAATCACAAACAACAGAGGCCCTAGAATGCTACCCTGTGGCACCCCATGCGTGACTGGAAGTTCCTCAGATAACTCATTTCCAGATGATGTGCGCTGTTGTCTACCAGTTAAGTAAAAACGGAACCAATGAGGAGCTGTTTCAGAAAGACCGATCTCGGATAGCTTGCATAACATTATTTGATGGTCTACCGTGTCAAATGCCTTGGTTAGATCGATGAACACGGCCCCGCAAAGCTTTCCTTGTTCCATGTTTAAGAGCACTTCATCAGCAAATGAGGTCAAAGCTGTTGTAGTTGAGAAACCCTTCCGGGAACCAAACTGCTTGTTGGACAATAAATTATTGGTAATCAAGTACTGATACAACTGCAAGTGTACCGCTCTTTCCAGAATCTTGCTTGCTAAGCGTATCAAAAGTACGAGGGCTTTTTCCGACAACTGCCAAGACGATTGTTAACCAAGAGCTAAGCGCCAATCATTTATCACCATGTAATGCATAAAACCTTCTTGGCCTTTTCTTTAGAATTTTGTTAAATTTATTATTGTTGCTATTCTTGCGATATTTATTACCCATTCGTTTCAGATAACAAGGAAACTTCTTGTTACTTTTGCGATTTTTGCGAAATTTGTAGACTTCTTGAGGCTCTTCTTTGTGTTTTGTCTTTCTAAGTCTAGAATTTTTTTAAATTTGATATTCTTACCTTTCTTCCAATAATTGTTACCCAGTCTTTTTAGATAACAAGGACATTTCTTGTTACTTTAGCGATTTTTGCGAAATTTGCTGACTTCTCGTGGCCCTTACTCCTAGTGGTTGCGTTTCCTCTTTCTGAGTCTATAATTTTGTTAAATTTGTTATTCTCGCTATTTTTTCGATATTTACAAGGAAATGTGTCACAAAATTTTCTTATGAATCATTTTTTTGGCTAAAATTGCGAAAAAAAAAAGAAATGGCTAGCAATTTTTTGCCATCTCCAAAGTTAGCAAGGGAGAGGAAAGCCAATTTATGGCCAAGAGGTCTGGTGAAACAAGAGCAAATAGAACTCAAAGATTGAGATGAGATTAACTCTCACGGGATTGGCTTGCCTAGTCCCTGCACGGCGTCTTCCCAGGCCTTCTCGGTTAATGCATTTTGGTGACGTATCCGAGACCCAAAAACTCGCGCAGACCGCCTGATCCGAAACGCATCAGCGGCTCGCAATACAAAAAAAAAAATGGCTAAAAAATTTTTGCAATCTCCAAATTTAGCAAGGGAGAGGAAAACCAATTTATGGCCAAGAGGCGGGCTGCATCTACCATTTTGTTCTCTGAAGAGAACAAAATGAGAAAGAAAGAAGAAAAAGGCAAGTTATGGACCGTACAATTAAGGCATAGATATATGAATATCCCTACAAAGTTTCCGTGAAATTGTCCCCGCTAGTTTCGTACTTTCCGGGGGCGCCCCTGGTACTCTCATTTCTTCGATGAGAAGATTGAGGGGTTTATTGCCTATTTACGTACACACAATCTGTATTTAATCATCGACCCCCCTTGGAGTTTTTCAGATTGAAATATACAATCGGAGGAAGCAGATCAATAACTCACCTCTTTTTCAATTGCAGCCGGTTGTTAATCCTTGTTTTTCTTCCTTTTTATTACTGTTATTTATAGCATCTGGTTACAGTACCTCTTCCAAGTCGTTTGTGTTCTCTCTCCTGGATAAAGAAGGGCTTGCACCATTTAAGAGCATGGTGACGAATACATCATTTTCGGTTTACCGTGGTTCAAGTTGTGGTCCAACATTTGGTGGGGGGCATGACATATACATTGCTGATAATGCTAATCAGAATGCTAATTCCTACACTAATTTTGGTACCTCTTACTCTCTTCCGAATGGAGTTACCAACAGTTCTACAATCCTGGCTGGAACCCGTTACTTTTCACCTGACGAGGTTGAGGTATTTTATCTCGCTTGAGTTCTGTTGACCCCTTGATTTCCATGCGCAGAACTCGTTTGAAATCAATGAAAAATTCACCCCAAAAATCTTTTTAAGATATATTGCAAAACAGATCATCGAAAAGGCCCAAAATTTTGAGTGGTTATAAGGTACGGAACCTTAAGATCCGAGGACAGTCGCGTTGGCGAAAACGCCGCTTACTGTTACACCCCTTTCTTTTGATATTCAGTGAATTTGTCAAATGTAGGAGAACTCTACTGAACAACCATTTCAAAGTTAAGAAAGAGGAAGAAAAGTTCATCTTTGCTTGTTTGCGTCTTCCAGAAACGTAAAATAGATTAGGGATATTGTACGTCGTAGTCGTGCAATCGAACGGGCGGTAGAAATGTACAAAAAGGCGTGATGCACGCGCAGAGTCGGAGTGATTAGTAATCTATTGCTTTAATTTCTTGACGTTTTCGCCGCTGCTGCCGTCATTGGATCTTTAGGTCCTTAATCTAAACGGTGTCCCACGGTAGGCTTTAACAGATTATGCTCGAAAAAGTAACATAATATATATGCTAATAGCAGTGCTGGCATATTTCTAAAATGATGCCAATAATTATGCTAGTTTTTGTAAACTATGCTCATTTTAACAAAGAAAAAAAATGCAGAAATTATGCCTTTATTATTTAGTTAAAAGTTGGTAAAAACATCTCAATAGTTATATGCAACACTAAATTAAATGGCAAAAAGATTTATCCTGTTTACATCTAGAAACCTTTAAGAGTGCATTCATTGTCTGACAACTTGGGTAATCATCTTGGGTAACCGTGCTTGTTATGCACATGCGTTGATTCATGTGGAAAGAGACCTGGGTCACCTCCTGTTAGACCAAGGTCCCATGAATGTGATGATATAAGCAGAGAGAGATTGACTTTGTTACTTAAATTTGCCTGTAACTTTCTTGGTTGCATGATCACTATGACAATTTTGTGCTGCAAAACGTTAACCAGCCAAAAGTGCAAATTAGGCTACCAGTGCTTTTTTTCGAAAAATAGGTGATAATTATGCTCGTGATGACAAATTATGCCAAAAGTTATGCAAACAATTATGCCAGCACAATCTATCAAAGCCTAGCTATGCGACGGTCTGCGACACGATCAGAACTCTGTCTGCGTCTAACGTTTTCAGACATCCCATGGCCAGGACGTACATCAAAGGCAGATATGTGAATTGTTAGCGACGGCAGTCTTTCCAGGTTTGTTTGAATCTTTGTGGCCGAAACACAGGTCTGTCGACGAGGCGACGCAGACCGGTCTCCGATCAGTGTTCCAGATTACATTTACCGTGTCATTTACGCTTCGTTCACACGTTTTCAGATATTTTTTAAAACGGAGAGTTTTTTCTCGATTTCTCTCTCTCTCTTTTTTTTTTTTTTTTTTTTTTTTTTAAAAAACAAAAAAAAAGGATTTAAAACCGTGAACACGTAGGGTATTTGAATCGTTTTCGCCGTCTACAGAAAAACGAGAAAACGAAGGAAATACAATGCATGATAACATCCCTATAGCATCCCTTACAGAGCATACGTAACGCTAGTAGTTCAGTGTTTATGATGTTTTTATACAACCTCTTTAAGGTTCCTAGAGGCTGCGATCCTTTTGCTGACCAAAAGGATCACGGCCTTTGGGAACGAGATTGGTTTTTATAGTATCTTTAATACTTTTTCGTCCGTCCACTCGTAAACGAGAAGCTGGCGTTTCTAAAATCAGTCTACTTCGGAGAACGTTTCTGAAAACCTGCATTTTGGTGTCCGCAACACCCGCGCCTTTTTTCAAGTGGACGGAAGGCTAAAACGGAGAAAAATACGTACACTGCACATATCAACTTGTGAGACAGAGTCAATCTGGAGCCATTGCAACACAAAGGCTGTTATTGATCGTAGTAATCAAGGATTTAACCCTGTGCAAATTTTAGTTCATAAGTTTTGAAAAAGAAAGAGGTGCTTTGCTAATTCTGCATGGTGTGAGTTTTAGTTGCATTTGCATAAAGCTTACAAAGGTATGGGGGTCTTTCTTGAAGAGCTAGCTATAGCTTGGAGAGCTAACTATTACGCATGCGACACCTGTTATACAATATCAGTGCACGATTACAGCCAGTTATTAATGACTCCAACCTAGAAATATTAAGACTTGTGGTGACTAATCTCGTGCCCAGATTTTACATCTGTCTTGGCCGTGGGAGATCTGGGTACGAAATTAATGCAGTCAAGTAATGTAACTGAGGGTTATATTTCCAGGTGTGAAAGTGTGGCCTAAAGTTTAGTCAGGGTAGATCCTAGGCGTTCCGTCTTGCCCAGTTGTTGTCGCAAAGTCTGGGAAAGGGTGAGCGCGTCTCTCCCCTCTCGGTTGCGTCACAGCTCACGGCAGAGTCCAGGTTTGATTGAGCAAAGAACGCCTTAAGGCCTAAAGGTTGTATTCACACAATATTGGAAAGCTTTTGCACTGGCACGAAAAACATACCGGATAGGGCGTCTGTTCACACATAAAAACGGTGATTTTAGCGCGATTTCTGTAACGGGGTGAAGCTACGCCTCCCCGATCTCAAACGTAGAGAGTCACATATTGGATATGCGTTCACGCTATACCCAGCTTTTCATACGGGTATTAAATTAACGGTATCCGTTACAGTGTAAACAAGCCTTTGCTGAAGTCCTGTAACACGAGCTCTAACCTTAACAATAAAACCCTCAGTCGCGCAGCTGCAACTTCAATTTAACCTATCAGGAAAAAATAAAGGAACTTGCGCCTTTGTGAAATGTTGTAGTGCTAGTAATGATCAATAAATGCCTCTAACAAATTATTAAATTATTAATTATCAGTCGTCGTTGTAGTAAGCTGAGATTTATTAACTTGTTTGTTAGTGTAGTCTGCACAGAGGATGCTAATTTAAGTTGTAAGGCCTGTTTTCATGGAGGTGGGGGACCCCAGGTAGTTGTTTTTATAGCAGAGCATGGAGCCACTTTTCTTAGTCCTGAAAAATATGTATATGGTTCACAGATCGACTAAAGTCTTATGACGAAATAAGTTAAGCAGGATCATCGATCCGCGAAGAAAAAACGTAGTATTGTGTCTAAACAATAAAATGGATAATGGCTAAATGCAAAATTCAGTATACCTACCAATAACTGAGAAACTAATTTAATAAGAGAGTGTATTCGGCATGCCAATCTTATTTCAAAAGACGAAATTATCATCCGGACAAATTTCTAAAGAAGAATACCAGCACCAATTTTCGAGAAAATAATAACAAACAACAAGAAAAACACAAAACAAAGGATGGCTTTGCACTTCGACTCCTCGAAGCTTATAATTTCGATGCTTTATTCGCCATAACCTTAATCCCCTTTGAATTTCCACATGTGAGACTTTTTACTTTATCAAATATACACACGGGACGGATTTGATTTCAATACATGGGATTTGTGTGGCGATTACACTCTTCAAGGTACATTTTATTACCTGACTTGGAGAGATCGATATTGGTTATTTTATGTTAAATTTTTCACCTGTCAGGTCACGAATGTTCCTTGTATGACATGATTCATATAAAGTCATTAAAAGCTCTTGGACTCAACAAGTGCGCATGCTTGCGAAAGCCATTCCACCGCACCTCAACTTTCAAGACTGTGAAACAAGAGCAAATAGAAATCAAACATTGAGATAAGTTTAACTCTCACGGGATTTGGCTTGCCTAGTCCCTGTACGGCGTCTTCCCAGGCCTTCTCGGTCAATGCATTACGGTGACGTACCCGACGCTTGGGCCACCTGATCAGAAACGCATCCGCCTCGCACAATAATGAGGCAGCTTGAGTCCTAGGCCGAACTAGGCAAGGGTTTGGCTTGGTTACCCAACATGGCCGTCGTTCATTGTTTTGGAAATAAGGCCCAGCGACATCAAGTAAAAACGCTCCATACATATCAGAGACGAGCTGTTTGAAAAAATGAGAATAGCCATACGTTAAACTTTGGCTATATTACAAGCTGGGCGCATATGTTAGTAAAAAAAACAAACAAACAAACAACTCTTTTACCTTGAAGCACGCACGTTGTAATAAAGAGCACATTCTACATCAGCTTTTTTGTTGTTGTTCATTTTGTAATGTAATGTAAATATCGCTTTTCAGGGATAATTTACAACACTGGTTGGGGGACTTTGCCAGACTGCTTAAGGTGCAGTTTTACAAGTAAGAAGGAATGAGTAATGATGCCCCCATACACGAGGTGTGGATGTGAGATAGACCACTAAACCTGGCACTACGTGCCCTGCTCTTTTCGAAAAGGGTGTGGGTTCTTTAACGTCCCACAGATTTATTACATGTGCAAGGGCTTGTGAGACGGGGCCTACGGTTTATCGTCCTTATCCGAGAAGACTAAGAAGCCAATCTTGCGTTTGCAGATGTTATTACAAAGGCAGCACTTTCTCGTTAGTTATTTAAAGAGCCTGAGTCAGTGGTCCGGCCGGGATTGAACCTACGGCCTCCCGCTCAGCAGACTGGCGCTTATCCCATCACGGAGCTAACCGAGCGGCGGTTTTGCTGCCTCTTAGAAACCCCTGTGTTCCTTAAGGTGTTTCGATAAAGTTTTTCAGAGGCCATACCAATATTTTTCAATCGCCTTAAAAGTGTTTTTTTCCTTGTAGGATCCCTATAAAATTTTCACCAGTAATTGGCTAGTAATTGAAATCTGTGAAAATGTAGTTTTAAGTAAAATCTATATTACTATGACAGCAATAAACAAAAAACTTTGAAACTGGTAAGAACCGAATTTTGTGTGATCTAGACCATCTACCGAAAATCCAACACTAGGAACTTAAAGTTTGGTGTTTTAGTAAGCAATCTCAGTAAGACTAAAGTAAAAAACTCTCTATGTTTGAATTCGACTAAAACGAAAATATATTTCAAACCTTAAATTTTCAATAGCCGAGATAGATTATTCAGTTAAAACGTTATAAATTACTCAAATTATTCTTAAGTAGCTTCAGAATGCTTCTTAATATCATATTTCGATGCTGGGAAATTTGGGTGTATTTTCGTTCTTGCGATCTTAAAAACTAACACATTTTCTCACCACCTGTATAAGTGCAACTTCGTTCCAAATTTTAGACTTTTAGCGCTTTTTTGTATATCTCTGAAACAACGCGAAGGAATTTTTTTAAAAAATCTCTTCACATAATCTTCATAATGTGTATAATTATGTCTGAACTTTCACTAAGATTAATTCACTGCAACACCTTGAAATTTCAATCTTTCCAAATTAATACGGACAATATATATATCCATGACTAGCACACTTCAGTGTGAGTATTGTCAATGTTTTACATTCAAAAGATGCGATAAATCCAAACTAAAATGTAACTAGTCATGGAGGTATGTACAATGCGCATTATTTTGGACAAAATAGCATAACGTCCAAACTGCGAATGTTGTAAAACAGGTTTTGATAGGTTCGTAGGATGGGTTTGTCTTGAAATTTTAAGATGTTACAGTGAATCAATCTCAATGAAAGTTTCAGACCTTATTATATACATTTTGAAGATTATGTGAAGAGATTTTAAAAAGGTATCTGGAATGACTGGCTGAAGGCAATCCAAACCTAGACGTAAGGGACTGGTCAAAAAGTATAGGTGGGGGTGGGCCGGAACAGAGAGGGGGTGGGTCATGAGGTTTTGAGCCTTGTGCAAGGGGTGGGTCGGGCAATTTTCAGCTACCCTTAGGGGGTGGGTCACCCTATTTTATTACATAGATAGGCACTAACTACTAACGAGACAGTTGACTACACCTGTTACACAAAACACAGCCAGCTTATTGCTAAATTATTGCTAAAATACTCACAAACTTGTTGTGCGAGAAAATGCAAAGGGTGACAGGCCGTACATCTATACGGACGTGGAACCCTCTGTTAACCTTTCTTTTTTTTGGCCCTAACGAGCATGTTCTTAATGATTTTCCTTTTTTGTAAGGAAATGATTGGTGGTTCTTTAAAAATTTATTGAAGTTATAGTTGGTTTTGTATATGATTCCATATTTTCATTCAAGCTTCCTTTATGGTAGACACTGAGGGCTGGTATTGTGTCAGGAATGGCAATATTTTTATTTTCCTCCTTGTTGTTTTGTTTTAGGAGTTTAGACTCCCTTTTGTGAATTTTATTTCTGATAGTAGGTTTTCTATCAAAGATTGTGGGTAGCCTCCGTCCATCAAGCGTTTTTTTTTTTTTTAATTTGAATTATTTTCCTCAAAGGTTGTTTTTGAGGAGTTTTTTCGTAGGATTCTCAAGGCTTCTCCATTGACAAATCCTTTTTTTAACATTTGGAGGGTGACACGAGGTGAAATGTGTGTCGGGAAGGTTTCCGTGTGTGTAAAATGTGTCTTTGCATCAAGGATAGATTTTTCCTTGAATCTTGCGCGTTTGTATACAACCGTATGTAAAAACGCAGTCTCAGTGTCAAATGTTTCAGCCGTGAATTCAATAGTTGGGTGATGTAAGTTTGCTTGTTCAATGAAGGCTTCGATGTCTGGTTTACTCATGTCCCATAGGGAAAAGACATTGTGTATGTAGCATTTCCAAACTGTTGTTCTAAAGACAGTTTTGCTTAGAGTTGTTGTTTCAATATATGTCATGAAAATATTGGCAAAGGAATCAAAACTGCTGTCTTTGTGCCCATTGCAGTTCCATGGTTTTGTAGGTAATGCTTGCTACTGAAGTGGAAGAAATTTTCTTTGAGGATTAATCTAAGCATTTCCGGCAAGTAATGTGTAGGAATGGGTTGTCTTTGAAGAAATTTTCATATGCTTTGTGACAGACAATTTCAATATACCCTCGTTTTGTTGTATATTTGTGTCAAAACTCATAACGTTCATCGAAACAAGAAATGTTCGGTTTTTCACATTTGTCTTTTCAGGGAAAGGTATGATTTCTGTGATTTTGATATTGGTTGCAGCAGTATATCAACAAATTTTGTCAAACACAGAACAAGGTATCATTGGATTATTAAGAGGAAACCAAACATCCATGTTGTAACTAGGGGGTGGGTCATGCAATTTCCAACCTTGCTTTAGGGATGGGTCAGTCATTTTTGTGCCGAAGGGAGGGGGTGGGCCATGTGTTTTTTATCAACCATATTTCCAACTGCTCCGGCCCACCCCCCCACTATACTTTTTTACCAGTCCCTAAATGGACAGAGCAAATGAACGCCGACCCTCTAAGCTGCAAACTAGAGGCCGTGGCTACGACGCAAATGGAACAACCATCGCTTTATTGTTATGGGAAGAAAAGAGGTTTATGAGAATCATAAAAGAGCTCTGGAACACGAAAAGATATGGCGATCTCGGACTCTCAAGCCTGAACTTACGTGATCAAGCAGCTAGACTCGAGAAAACGAAACGACAAAGCACGGGAAACTTACCATGCGGTGCACAGACTGCGAGGGCGCAGCAATTCATTGAAACCGTTTGAGATGTAGTTATTAAAAATAATGTATTTCACTGATTTAAAAACTATTTTTACGCAGTTGAAGGTATTTTTATTATATTTTACGAACAAAACCAAAATGGTCATAGGCTTAAAAAGTATTTGAGATCTATTTTAAAGCTATTTATATAGTTTTAGAAGGCTTTCCCTTTATTTGAAACTCAGTTTCGCATTAAAACTACATTTCAAACACATACTTAATCTATATTTTCAGAAAAAGAGTACTGACGGGTAACTCAAACCTTTTTCAAATACCATATTTAAACCGTGTTTTAAAAAGAATACCGTTCTTTACTAATTTAAAATGTAGTTTTTAGAATTAAGATACAAAAGTTTGTGTTAACTAGGGTGTTTCAACATTATTTTGGACGGAACTTTAAGACCATTACTTCAAACAGTTCAAAAATGGCGTACCTGAAACAACTTTTCTGATTTGAAAGGTATTTGAAATGGAAACCTGTTCCAAACCGAGTTTTAAACAAATCGCATTAAAAAAAAAAAGGAATCAAGACTTTTAAGGAAAAAAAATTCTCGGGCCGGGAATTTATATTTCGGTGACGCTTATAAATTTGTCTCTTTTAGTAGTAAAAGAAAAACTTCACTGTTAAGTCTTCATCATGTTGCAGTTAAAAAAGACACAAAATAAGCTGTCATCGATCCTGATTGTAAACTTGATGATTCTCTCAACAAATTTTGAGGCTGAACGAACCTGAATTAAATCTCCCAGGAAATTAAAAAAAGGAGAAGAAAAAAAAGAAAAGGAAGAGATTTTGATGCTTTATATCGAGTAGACTTAATTATTTGACTTACTCATAAATAGAATACGTAACTGTGACAGTGTGCGATGAAAGATCAATCCTCAATGTTCATTACCATGCACTCTGCGAACCACACGAAGGAGCAAATATTGCCCAGAATTTTCTATTTCTTGAGGACGGCTAAAAATTTCTAGATGATCGTTCTATTCATGCACAGTTCGAAGCTAATCTAATAAATTCCCCACCATTTTCTCAAGTTTAATTTTTCACATTTCACTCCTCAGGTTAAGCCATTTTTCGTAGATAAAAGGAAACCTAAAATTTTCGGATCCCATAGTGTGATGGAGAGAGGAATCAGAAAAATCCTTACTCAATCTCGAACGTTTCGTAATAAGTTACTGCATGCATCTAAATTTTTCAGGAAAAAAATAATGAAGCCTTGTAATTTCGAAAAGAATCAAGTTCCCCTAGGATGACCGAACGAATACAAACCTTATGGCCCCACTTAGAATGCATTTCTAGAGATCTAAAAGTACTCAGGATAGCCTGACAAGTTCTTTCAATGCATGTAGAACGAAATCGTCGTTAGGTGCTCCTGACCGGATGCATGCAGTCAACACAGATGTAACTATAAAATAAGTCCTAAATTGCACAATGAATAAACTTTCTAAGCTAAGATCTCACCTCGTTTATGTTGCTTTATAAACCACGCTCAGATAAATAAACTCCTCCATATGGTTTTCTTTTTTTTTTCATAACTTATTCAGCACATGCATGGCATTTCACGTGCGACTAAAATCCCGACCCCGAGCGCTGCGCGCGGTGTTGTGACAAAAGCACGTGATATAAGAAACAAGCCATCCATTTTCCTTTCTTCATTATAAATTGTAGCGCTCGGCGTTGGATTGAGCACATGATTTAATTTTTCATTTAACAAAAGTATACGTCAACTCTGCAGATTGTCTGGACAACTAGACTTTATTTTTATTTCGAATCAAAAATGGCTATGGCTCCTCGACTTGTACGTATTTTGAGAGGATCTGGTGGTCGGTGAACGACTGGCGGTGCTCGGTTCTAGTGCACTGTATTCCATGAGTCTTACATGTTAATAAATGTGAGTATAGATTATTCCTTCTTTTTGCATAACATGTTACTGAAATGTTTAAGTAAACTCCAAGTAAGAAAGAAATGTATATATATATATATATATATAATCACAGGAGTTCAGGCTTCAGGAGTAATCATTGATCGTTTATTGCGACAGTGCTGTTTCGTATGGTCCGAAATTGTAGGACCACACTCATCAGGCAACTTCAACGATTGACCGTTAAAATTAAAAGCTGGCAGTAAATATAGGGATGCGTTAAGAGATAGTATCTAGGTAACAGATGGATTGTGTCTTAGTTACGTTACTCTAGAGTTCTGAAGTACATATCTGTTTCAATGCTCTTCAATTAAATGAATTGAGCGCTCTACGGAATACGTTCTACCCAGAATACAAGTATATATATATATATATATATATATATATATATACACCCGTTTTCAAAAAGGTTTTCATATAGAGAGATATATAGATAGATATATACTTTTGTTTTCTTGCACGTGCGCCCGTGTGCATTTTTCATTTGCTATTGTCAAAGTTGTGAAAAACCTCGGTTCAACGATAATTTTTTTCTTCGTCGGGTTCTTTGTTCCAATTTGAAAAGAACATTTCGTTTGAGTTTTTTTAGAAAAAAGCATCCGCCCTGCAATACAAATTTGCAATGGCGAATTATATGACTGATTTTGGGAATGAAGAAAACAGCCCGCGAAGCAGCCGAGTTATGCCGCGTCACCGAATTGATAGGCCAGATGTCATGGCATCTGAAGCAACTGGTGAAGCATTTTTATTGACGGAGTGTATTAAAAAATGCGCTGTCCGGTAAACTAACTTTAAAACATTTGTGACCGAGAGTTTATTCTGTCTTCAGTGAGACGTTGCCTTACAGGCCGTGATTTTACACGAAAAAAGGTGAGACATTAATATGTATGACCCGCTTATCATGGTCATGGTTATCTTCTTCTATGAACCTAGTCAACGTCTTGGTCCGTTTTAATCAACTGCTATGTTATTTTTGCTCCTTCCCACATATCCAATATCGACATCCACCGTCACATCTTCCCTCTCAGAAAAAAAAAAAAAAATCAGCGGTTTCGAAAACACTTTTTTTTCATTTCATCTGCGTTGTTGTAAAAATGAAAATCTTTGATGATTTTCCCCTTATCCTGTAAATACAACAATCATATGACCTACAATTGACCGAATTCCGCATTTTTTAATTTTCAAAAGAATGCAAATCAAGTGAATTGTAGACAATATTCGTGCATTTGCTTTTGTATTGACAAATTGGAACAAAGAACCTGACAAGGAGAGAATTTATCGTTGAGGCGAGTTTTTTTATAAGTTGGACAATAAGAAGTCAAAAAGGCGCACGGGCGCACGTGCAACAAAACAAAACTATATATCTATCTATATATCTCTCTCTATGAAAACCTTTTTGAAAACGGGTGTATATATATATATATATATATATCTTCAAGGCTTTCTTTTGAGGGTAGAAACAAGGATGATCTTTTATATAGACATTTTTTCTGGCCCGGGACTCCATGGTCTTGAGGATGTTAGTATACAGTTAATAGACCTTTTTACCGATACGGCGGCCATATTGAATTAATTCGATTTAAGAAGTATTATAGGATGCCCAGGGGGCATGAGCACATTTCGTTTGTATTTTCGAGCGCTTTTCGGGACATTTTTTCTTAAAGTTTTCTTAGAATAAGATTGTAATGGAAAAAAAGATCCTTGTGCCGTGTTTTGATGTAATAATGATCGCCTTTTTCTAGTTTATTATTAGAAATATGGTCTTTCACTGTATAATTCTCGGGAAAAAGGAGATCATTATTACATTAAAACAAGGCACAAGGATCTTTTTTCCCATTACAATCTTATTCTAAGAAAACTTTAAGAAAATATGTCCCGAAAAGCGCTCGAAAATACAAACGAAATGTGCTCATGCCCCCTGGGCATCCTATAATACTCCCTAAATCGAATTAATTCAATATGGCGGCCGTATCGGTAAAAAGGTCTATTGACAGAGTGTCCGGGGAAGAATCAGCTCTCCGGGATAAAGAAGGCCAGTGGGCCTATAGGTTGAACTGTAAATTGACCTGCTTCCAACGTCAGTGGCTTCATAGCTCAGTTGGTAGAGCATCGCACCGGTAATCGGGAGGTCACGGGTTCAAACCCCGTTGAAGTCCTGAATTTTTTTCAACCTTCTTTACGCAATTGCATAAATTGCGTTCACTGCGACGATCATTTCTTCATTTTCATTTTGATTTCACACTGTCACGTCGTAGTCCTCTTTCGTTCTCGTGTGGATCTGAAAAGTCCTGACGGTGTTTTGTTGTTATGTAGTACTTTATAAGCTTAATTTTAGCCAGTAATTAATGTTCAGGCCTAGCTTGCAAGCTTCATAATGATACTGAAATTTAACCGTTTCATACAAGTTCTTCGGGGTAAAGTGAATATAATTCCTACTATATGAAGATTATCAGCATTTCTGTCTGAATAATTTTCTTGAGAATTTCCCGAAAATTCTGAGGAGGATCAGCGTAAAGGAATTCTAAGAGATAGAAGAGAGGAGACGGTTTGGGAAGAGTCGAGAACCACTATAAACCCCGACGCCCGCCCTTAATGGAATATTTGAAACCAACGCTAGCCGCACTTAACGTTAAGTGCCTTATTCTTACGATCTTACAGGAAAATAGATGACTGTGAGTGATGGATGGTTCAGTGGCTACTGTTTCATTTTGTTTTAGTTGTTTATACTGCTTGCTGTTTGAAGTTTTAGATTTGTTGCAGTTATTTATTTATTTATTAATTTTTTTCTCTGTTAATTTTTATTTTTCCTTTGTTTCAAATTCATTAGCAACAATACCATACCCAAAAACAATGAAAAAATGAAAATTAACTTAGATAAAAAAAAAAAAAAAAAATACTTCAACATATATGTGTATTTTTCCTGCTTTATAATCCTCTCTTGTGTTGTGCTTAATTTGAATACAGCATCCTTTGATGATGATAATAATGATGACGATGATCATTATTATTGTTATCATCATCATTTTATTAGTAGTACAATTATTATCATTCTTATATTTACATCAGTTAATTTTTATTTTTCCTTTGTTTCAAATTCATTAGCATACATTACCATACCCCAAAACAATGGAAAAATGAAAATTAACTGAGATAAGAAAAATTTACTAGAACATATATGTGTATATTTCCTGCTTTATAATCTTCCCTTGATCCTTAATTTGAATACATACTTGCTTAATTTCAATACAACATCCTTTGATGATGATGATAATAATTATTGTTATCATCATCATTTTATTAATAGTATTATTATTACTATTATTATTATTATTATTATTAAAACTATCATCATCATCATCTTTCTTTTGCGTAATCGAGTGTTTCTTAACAGGTGTTTAACCGTTTGTTTTTCTGGGCAAACCGTTTATTCGTTCACGGCCACCAAAACCGTCCAGCCGTTCTTCTTCAATTCTTCTTTCGTTTCTTTATTTTTTTATTTGTTAACTTTCATTCAATCCTTTCTCTTTTTATATCCGTTTTCTTATACGTTCAGTTGTCGTGCGTTTTGATGAAGTTTTACTGCCCATTATCTGCTTGTAGCATGATACTTACAATTTGTAACCTTCAATATATATGAGCTAAATACGTTCCTTTGGAAAGTTAAGGTACTTTCCTTGGGTTAGCCAGTACCCTAGTGTGATTTGTAGTGAATCCTTTCATAGGAAAGTACCTATTTTTTGCTACTTCCCTGTTTAGTTATTCTAAGGAGTGATTGGCATATTCAAGTAAAGCCCGCTCAGAATCTCTATTTTTTTGTTTTATTTATATCCTAGTTAGTATAAGTAATAGCATAATTTGTAGTGATATTTGACTTAAATACGGCGAGTGATATTTCGAAATTGTAGCCGGTAGGCGAGTGAAATTTTAGACCATTTTGAAAAATCACGAGTGGTATTTATGCCAAATATAACGTACAAATTATGCTATTATTTGTTTATACTACAACCCGCAAAGGATTTTTAATTTTCACATGTAGGTATGTCAAATTAAACTGAAATACCTTTGCTCTGAGCCAATAAAATTACAGAAATGTCTCAGGTAGTAAATAAATATAATGCAGGGTAATTTCAACCAAACTCAGCGTGGGAGAATTAAGGGCAAAATTGGTCTCACTGGTAACTTGCCCCGCAGTAACTCATACAAGAAAATTAATTGAGGAAGTTCTTGTTTTATCCATATTATGTTGATAAAACGATTCCTAAGTTCACCAATCACAAAGCTCCATTTAAGAGCTCTCAGTAGCCCCGATCACGCTCAGAGATATTTTCACCTGGTCCATGGAAATTTTTAAAAAACAGTTAAGTTGGAAATACGTGTGCAAAATTCAACCTGCCGATAAATTGCCAATAGTCTTGAAACAAAGATCATTTTCTTTCTTTCTTTCTTTTCTTTTTTTTTTTTTTTTGGTCGTTAATGGATAAATATTACTAAAATGGAAAGCAAGGTCTATTTAACCAGTCTTGAAACTTGAAAACTGCCATGAGTTGAAGCATAATATTTTCAACAATAGTTCATTAATATTGAAGTTAATTGGACTGTTCGCCTGGGAGGAAATATTTGAAAGCACTTTTTAAAATGTTTAGTTTTTCTTGAATTAATCACTTGTAAGTGTGGACATATTGATCTCCCTCTATCTCTTTCTCCCTCTGTCTTGGAGATAAATCGTTTGAAGAACGTTTTTTAAACTTTTTAGTTTCTAGAGTTAATTACTTTCAAAGGGATAATAATCCGCTCGCCCTCTATCTTTCTCCCTTAGTCTTGGGTGTCTTGAAGGAGATTAATTTGAAAGCAGTTTCTAAACTTTTTTGTTGTTTAATGTTTAGATTTATCCACTTGCTAAAGTGAAAATACTGCTTTCTCTTACTCTGCGTATGTGTCTCATCATTAAAACAAATACAATTCCCTAAATAAATATGTTTTTACAACAAGACGAGTTGCTAATTATTTATTGATGGCTATTGATTCACTCCGATAAATATTGTTTAAGGTTAAGCGTAAAAACGTGTACTGAGGCGACATGGTTGTGAGAGGTGGGTGTTTGTTTGAATACAGTCTAGGCAGAATTACCTAGAAATACTGCTCTCTCTCTCTCTCTTTCTCTGCATCAAAATTCATGAAATCCCTTCAGGCATTTTTGAGACAAGCCATTTGTTCTAGGGTAAGGTTTTCAGACACATTTTTATTATTATTATTTTTTATCATTATTATTTATTGATGGCAATTGTTTAACTTGTTTTGTGTTCGTATAACGTTAATTACACATAAAGGGCATAGTTAGGAGATGTGGGTGCTTGTTCTCATGCAGTCAATTTAAAGACTGAATTAGACAAATGCTCAAACTCAACTTTCCTATCACGAGAAGATGGAAAGACTAGTACTTCAGAGAAACTACTTGTTTCTTTCGTGGATCTTTGTCACCTTTGCGACTAATTCTCAAGGTAAATAGACTCTATCTTTTATTTCCTTTATTGTAATTTTTATTATGACATGAAAAATGAATCTTATATTTTCCCCCTCTTCTTTTAAAAAGCTTTCAGCCAAGGATCGATTGGCAACTTTTTCTATGTCAACTTCATGATAAGTGAATTTTCCTACCTGAATATCTCCAGTATTGGGCGGAATCTTATTCAAGACGAAAGCGATTGTGGATACGCCTGTTTAGAAATTCCATCGTGTTTTTCTTACAACGTGGCTGCTTTCCCTGATGTCAACAACAAACGTCTTTGCGAACTCCTGCCATCGGACAAGTTTAACAACTCAGAAAAGTTCAACACCAGTAAAGAGTTTCATCACATCTATATTTCGGTAAGTCAAACTAATTGTTCCTTCCGGGCAAAATAAATAGCTTCTTCTTGTTTGTTTGTGTGTCTATTTTCTTTTGACTCTCCCTAGTTACAAAAGTTAGCATGTGTAAATAAAAATGTACCTCTTTGATTGGAAAATCTTGAATGCAGCAGAGGATTACATTGTGATTTTAATGCAAAGGAATTGAGTAATGAGTTTGGGTAAGCCTTAAAAAAAGAGTTAAAAATGAGTTACCGGTAAACCTTCCAACTCTTAATTTAACCATCTGCCGACGCCCGAGCATACTTGATGAAATCGATGTATTTATCTTCGAATGGCCTAAACGTTAGTGAGGGAGGAGTTGCAGACAGAGCTCTCGACTGTTTTATTTGCCGAAAAAAGGCGTTTAGTTCGCAAAACACATTTTTCTTACCATGAACTTTCCTCATTTATTTGTTTGCCTATATTTGGCTTGCCTTAAAGTTACAGAAACGTTTTAAAACTCCTAGTTTAGGCTGATCTGCTGCCGGTTAAATAGATCAACTGTATCAGGACAACGTCTTGAAATGCAAATTTCTGGGTAAATGAGACAGCGTTGACTTTCAAAACCTCACTAAAAACTCAACTAACCAAATCCAGTGGGGAGTGCAAAAGATAAAAATATATATTGCTAGCCGTCCTTAATTATATCGATGTCATTTAAGATTCGACTTGTATGTCAAATTGGTTGCTTCTTGACTTTACAAAACAAAGCAAAAGGGAAACAAAGAAAATTTAATCCCAACGTTTCCTTACTGAAAGTTAACTGAGGCCCCGAAACTTTCTCGCACTTTCTAGTGCTTTCCTTGTTCTGTTTGGGCATTACTATGGCAACACAAAGCACCTAACCTGTTCACCTATGGGAACATTCAACTGAGGGAATTCGTATCCATTAAACGTTCCAGGCAATAAAGGGATTTAAACGAGTAAACTGCCTTGTTGGAACAATTTTAATTGTATCTTGTTCTTCTTCCTTTTTCACATAAGCGAAGCACTTTGCCCCTATAACGTTTGCCTGATTCAAATGGGATATTGCCATAGCAACGCACATTTAAAGATAAAATAATGAACCGTTCATGTTTCGTTGTTATAAGAAAACAGCTTTTGTTATTGCGTCACAAGAAATACATGTTTCTAACGGTAGAAGTGCTACACTATGAAAAAGCAAGCATCAAGTTTTCTCAAAAAAGGAAAACAATAATTGAGGGACTTATCAAAGTCTGTTTTACATTTTTTAGAGATGCGCAAAATTCCCGTTACTTGATCTCATTTTGTTATTTCCATTTTTTGTTATTCTTTTCCTTTCTTCGTCCTTATTTCGAGAAACACCTCGATTTTTGAAGCCTGTTACAGGCTCCGAGATAGTAGTGCAGCGAAATCAGGGACAGAGGGCCCCTTTTTTTTTCCCCGCCGCTATCCCCTTTCCTAGATCGCGTGCGTCTTATTTTTAAATAGATTTCTTCTTTTATCTTACCGACGTCCTTACTCTGAGATCCTACTCAGTATACCCGTAAGTTCAACATGGATGATTGAAAACAAGCTTAAAATTTCGAATTTATTAGGTTTGCACAAAATCTAGTTATTAGTAGATTTCTTGATGAGTTAGTACACAACTTACAATTTGTTACCCCCACGTTTTAAAACAACTTAACCAAATTTTAACAGTATTTATTTTTTTTTAAGAAAATAAGACAAAAAGTAAGCATGTTCAACAATTAAGCACTCGTTGAGAGCACGCTACATTTATATATCAAAGGCGACGAAAGCAGATAAGAATAATTTTTTGCTGACAATAATTTAACTTCTCGTCATTTTCCTAGTAAGTGTCTCCTCGTACTTTTTGTTCACTTATTGGCTGCATATCTCCTCCTGATAAAAATGTTAACATTCTCATAAAGGTGATAAAGTACTTCTATAGAAACTGTGTTCAGCCTCCTTAAACTCATGGTCAACTGAAAGTCAGGAGGAGAGAATTGTGCCCGAAAAAATCGTTTGAATTCTTAGAATGCAAGAAAATGCAATTTAATTAGATAAAGGAATTTACAAAGTATTAGGAATATAAGATCGAATTTCGTTAGAATTCGTAGAAAAACGAAGAAAAAATGCATTTAAAAGATGTCCTGACCAGCTACGAAAGAAGCCAAGCAGTGGCTCTTCATGCCATCGTTAGGCCACTCGCCGATATATATCTGCAGCCTGTTCATCCTACAAAGGCTGCGTCAAAAGAATGCCTTGACCAGAAGCAACTAGCTGAGAATACAGGCTGTTGAACCCACTCACTGCGGCAATTAATGCAAGCATTAGATATAGCTTCTGTTCTCGTTCAGCAAAACCAGCCGGCGGCTCCCTGAAATAATTTGATGAACAAGCGAGTTAAATTTATATAATTACACCAGCTTATTGCATGATAACCGAAGGCAGGAGCCCATCAAATGGAGCCTCTATCTCCCATACAAGCCCTTGGAGTCAACCCTTTCCCGAGTAGATTTATAATTAGAACGGTTCCCAGGGGAGACTTCGCGCGCCGACGGTGGGAAGAGTCAATCACAACGACGTAATGACACTGCTATTGTACTTCATCAAACAGCAGGAAATTCGGTGTTGACAGGCCAAACACAATCATAAGCTAGTGAAACGTGACTTTAGCGTTTTCATCCCTCAGAGATTTTCTTTCTTTTCTTTCTAGCGGGTAGATTATACTGTGGAGAGTTTTAAACTCTGACTATGTTAATCTTCATTTTGGTTGCTTGTCTCACATTAAGAGGCCATGAAGCTGGTCTATTACATGCGTAATGATTAACTACTACCTGCAGTCTGTAGTTCTGACAGGATTCGTTTTCTTAAGCCAATCTTTTGAGCGTTAAGGTTCTTATTTCGGCTAAATGACTCAATATTAATCAAATTTCTAGTTTTTCAAGTTTTTTTTTTTTCCCAAATGCGTTTATGTGAATAAATACTTGTAGTCCTTGTGGTTGTTTTGCCCGTCAGCTAGTGTGATGATTCCCTGCTATGTTTTGTAACGCCGGGCCCAGCTATTGTTTTCTCGCGAAAAAGTGATCTACAGATGCGAATTCGAAGGAAAGAATTGGTATAAACTTCTACATTAATTGCGAGAATTGTCCTGTTAGTCAGTCATAATTCCAGTTTGGCGCAGATACAATCCATTTTGTTTTTCTTGAGACAAGTGGGTCTTTGGACTGGAGCGCGATGTCACAAATTCCTCCGTTAGCAAATTACTTTTGAGTTGGCTTCACGGTCGAGCAACTGTTGAAGTGTTCTCTTCTGTTCAACTTTTCAAGTGCCAGTTTTATCAGCCAACTCTCACGGTGATACGTACAAGTCAGTTGTAAGGGAAGACTGCAATTTCTCAAATTTCGGAACTGAAGCATTCCTCCTTAGTTGTTACTTGGGTCATCGCTATTGCACGTGGTGCTTAACCGGCGAAATCCACTCCACGGTGATGACAAAAATCAAATGATCCTGGCACTTTTTCGGCGCTGATCATCGAAAAGTTCCAAATCGTCCACAGAACGCTTAATCGTCGACTCTTTTCAAGGTGTATGTTTAAATGTGGGATGTATGATGGCAAAAAAAAAAAAAAACTCGCAAAGATAACCTTTCCGTGATCCTCAGTTCGCTGCCTTTGTCCCATCGCTTCATGCTCAGTCAGTCAGCGGGTAATTCATTAACTTTTATTTCATGATACCCAGATCACAGCGGCTGTAAAATTGTAAAAATGGACGTATAGTAAAAAAGAAAACGGTCGAAGGACGGGCTTCTGAGTTCGACTTCATCCAACTTCATTTTTTTTTCACGGTGACGTACGAGACTCAAGGAAATATGACACTTTTCGCGGGAAACAAGCCGTTCTATTTATAACTCTATTCGGGAAAGGGTTGACTCAAGAAATTAATGGAGATGGAGGCTCCGTGACGAGAAAGGAGAATCCTGATGATTTTTGAAAGTGTTCACCGCTAAGATGTTTTATTTATTTATGTATTTATTTTTCATTCAGTCAGTCCGTTCGCTTAGACTCAGATATGACTCAATGACAGCAGTTTGCTAGCCTGAAAAGTGGAAGTGCCTTTCTGTTTTCTCATTTGTAGTAACAAAATAAAGTCCGGAAGATTCATCGATATTTTGTGGGTATTTGTACTAAATAAAACAATTATTCGCACTTGTTCCATGGAGATATATAGCCAACCCATACCCAACAACTCGCAGGTGGAATAATTGTGTTACTTAATGCTACATGTAACTAAAACTTGGGGCTCAAGTTGGTCGACGAAACTCAAAAGCTGAATTTGCCGTAAATTCAGCATACGTCTAATATGGATAAATGATATGCGTCACGTTACTGGATTATGTTTTGACTTTGTCATGAAATGGTCTTTACTTACAGCAGTATCCTTTCCTTTGTGTAGTCTCCTTGTGACAGTTCTCCCTGTAAGAACACAGGAAAATGCATTTCGCTGTACCAGGAAAATGGATATAACTGTATCTGCGTGGAAGGATTCACCGGGAAAGACTGCGAAACGAGTAAGGAATACTGAGTTGAAACAATGTTGCCACTAACTATAATACAATCACAGGTGACACAATTTTAACGTACTTTGCAAGTGGGAACGGTAATTAGCATCAAGCTGATGTTAGGTATTATATTATTGACTTTTACTTCTCTGAGCTCACTACAATAAAAAAATATCTAAGTGAGAAGATTTAAAAACTACCTTAAAAGAAAAGTCGACCAATAAGTATCACGCTGAACTTTTACTTTTCCTTGTAGTTGCCCAACCACAAATTTCAATTTCTCTGCTTGATCGATAAAGTGACTTATTTATAGACACGTTTCTCCATCAACCTCTAGAACAACATTTACATTTACTAGCTGTGTTTTGACTCTTGCTGAAGTCTAATGTAGCTTAGCTGAAAGGTACAAATAATTTTTTTTTTTTTATTGAATATCTTTCATCCTCTCTCCTGCAGATATAAATGACTGTGTCAATATTACTTGTTTGAACAACGGAACTTGCATCGACCTAATCAATGGCTTCAACTGCAGTTGCCCTCCAGGATTTGCCGGCAACCGATGCGAAATTGGTTAGATACTTGTTGCTGCTATTTGCATTGCATTTCCGCCAAAACGCAACATGCTGTGTATCCGTTTAAACACCCAATGTTGGACGCTGTTGAATGCGGATGGCTGATAAATATGGCTCAATTTTAAATCCTACATGTGAATGATGTTATACCAACATATGTTTTTTCTCGGGCGGCTCTAGGGTCCACCAGATATATGTTTTGCAATTTTATTGACCTCGAATTCCTCTTGGTCCATGAAAATGCCGAAAAAAAAACTTGGCCAATAATATTAACGTATTTATCTTGGCTGAACAACTTTTTTTTCTTTAGATATAAACGAATGTGAGAGCAGTCCTTGTTTTAACAACGGAACATGCACTGACCGAAGCAACGGATTCAACTGCAGTTGTCCACCAGGATTTTCGGGCAACCGATGTGAAATTGGTGAGCTGTGTTTAGCTGTTATTTTTATTGTTTATCAGCTTGAAAATCTATACACTAACTGACGGTGTTGGTCTTGCATGTTCATTTAATGTTGTGTTTTTGAAGAAGAGATCTATTAGCATTTATATTTTTCTTCCCCAACTTCCAATTCGTTGAGGTTTATACAGCTAGTAAAGAACCCTCCGTATATAAAAGTGGGTTTTTGTTTCTTTTTTTGTTGCAGTTTATCTGTGATTATTGTTTCCTTTAGATACAAACGAGTGTGAGAGCAGACCCTGTTTAAACAACGGAACTTGCACTGACCGAATCAATGCATTCAACTGCAGTTGCCCGCCTGGATTTTCTGGCAATCGATGTGAAATTGGTTAGTATAGTTACCCTATAATGACCTCGTAAGGTTAAGACGTGATCAAGTGTGAACGCCTATCCCTCACTTCAGAAACTTCAAAGAAAATGGGTACAACCTTTGGGATCAGTGATTTCTGGGATCGTTTGGGTGGGCAAGAGTTATATATGATTGGTCGATGGTATTCAAGGCAACCATTAACCAATCATAAACAACGCTTGTCCACCAAACGATCCCAGAAATCGTTAGACCAAGAGCTGGTAGCCATTGCCCTTATAGTTTCTGTTATAGGAAATTACATCAGTGTGAAAGCAGCCCATAATTGTCTCACGCAAGGTGAAATTTACGTAAAGCCCAGTGCAAATGGACGCAGCATTGTTGGATGTTACATGTTAAAATAGCGTCCGTTTGCACACCCTGTTGTATGTCGTTGCGTGTGGTTGGGAGTCATTGCACAAAGTTTGAAACCGGTCAAACTATATGCCCCGTGCAAACAGACGCAATATTGCTGGCCAGCTCCTCCCAACATTGTTGGGAGTTGTTGCGTCCATTTGCAGGTAGCTTAATGATTGCTATTTTTGGTCTCTGATTGCACTTTGCTGGTGTCAATTGACTTCTGTGCTGTAAAGAAAAAGAAGTTTACTTTGATAACATCTCCCGCATATATAAACGAGTGTGAGAGTAGTCCCTGTTTGAACAACGGAAATTGCACTGACCGAATCAATGCATTCAACTGCAGCTGCTCTCCAGGATTTTCCGGGAATCGATGTGAAATTGGTCAGAGCATCAGTTTTAGCTAGCTACAATTTTGCAATTTCTTAACCTTAATTATAGAAGGACGTCCTAATTTTGACGCGTGCTTTGATATCATTCTGTTACAGACATTGTTTTGTGTTTAAACCTTTATTAAGCGATTTATTAGTTCGTACCCTGATTGGCAGGTTACCCCTCTGTCAAACTCCTCCAGTGTTATCTTCTAGTACATCTTCCAAACAGCTATTTCCTTATAGAGGATCTAGCCTGATTTCATTTGTATTGCCAAAGATTTCCAGTGTGATTGACTAAATGTTTATCGGCGACGTCAAGTGCATTCATTATTCTGGATTGTAGTTTCTTCTGCAAGCTAGTTCTTATCTTAAAAGTTTTCAACACAAAATTATGTACCTCGTCCTCCTTTTGAGTTAGCTTGATGGACGTCCTTTTGTCGCCTGCACATCCTTTCGAAAAAACTTATCCCTGAAAAATCGCCACACGTCTTCCCGTATGTTTCGTGCACGCAGATGGCTTGAGAATGTCCCCAGCAAATTTACACGACTGTGCAACCAATCAGTTCCATTTTTCTCCTCCACCCTTAGATGTTATCTCAACTGTGGTAACACAGTTTCTTTCGCCTTCGATTGGGAATGACAGCAACTGGGTGCTGTGTTGGCAGGCCTCCACTCATGGCTGGGCTGGCACTACTTTCCACAGCAGATGTGATGGAAAAAGCCACACAATTACGGTCATCAGAAAAGACCCGTACGTGTTTGGAGGATACACCGATATTCCTTGGCGTAAGTAACTTTTTCGCGGGGGGGCGGAGTCCTCAAAATAAAAATTACACCCCTAAAGAAACCAAACTGCTGTGGCTTAGGCGCTATTTGACTTATAATAAAACAAGCAACCAATTCCAGAACCCATCAAGAGCTCTAATGGTATAAATCACCTTGTGCGAAATACATTGAAATTGAATGAAGTATTCGATACAAAAAGGCGGCCAGTTTAGTTGTCCTTTACACAGTTAAGGCTGCTCGCAGTCCCTCATTTCTGTTTAATATCAGTCGAGTTCTCATCACGGCGAGCAAATAGACAAAAATGGCTCGTTTTTATGACGCTTTTTTCTCGCGGTTCGCATATATGTGTTAGTGCCACCTTTGCCGAACAAGAAAAGAGAGAGATACTCGCAGTCTAGGTTTCTTTTGATATTTTTTTTTACGCGCTGTTCTAAGCGATAACTGTATGGATAAAAATATTAGTTCTCCGTCCTGGACACGCTATAATGCGACCAAAATCTGCAATTTGCATTTCTTAGCGAGACGACAAGCATCCCCCCTCCCGGTCGGTATATTTACAGTTTTGTTTTGTTTTTTGTTTTTTTGTTTTCTTTTTTTGCCCTTTTGTGTTAATTGATTACAAAAAAGAATTTGCAAAAAAAAACAAAACAAAACAAAAACAAAAACAGACAAAAAAAATGCCACTGACCAGAAACGTACAGTAGGTGGATACAATTATTTTAGCTACGATCACATTGAGGTCCTAACAACAGTTAACTATAGTTTAATGTCCAAGTCACGGTATTTGAGATAAATAGCAATCTCTTTGGCATGTCTATTGACATGGTTTTGTCAGTAGACACCTGGAGCTTGTATGTTTTGGTTTGTTAAATTAAAGTTAAATTCCCCTAGGACCTTCATTGGGAAAAACATAAAACTTAAAGAGGTCTTTAAATAGTGGGTGTCATTTACGTACCTGTAACACCAACAGGGGTTGCTGTTCCAATAACCTTTTCTTTTGAGTATTCTGTTTAACCATTATATAGCGGATGAAAGACTGATAGCTATATCACCTGACTCTGCTTAAAAAACTGTGTTCTGTCGACCGAGGAATAACCAGCTAAGTGAGTGAGTTGTTTGGCACAGCTATCAGAAATAGAGCTTGTATTTCCAACAATGGGCTTTAAACAGAAGCTCCTGTAGTAAAGTAATTCCTTTTTTGTGGATCTTGAACAGCCCGTAAAATTTGTGCGGGTGGGAAGAGAAGAGCGTGCTGTGTTAAGGATACCAAGGGGACTCATCCACCCGCCCCCTTTGAGGCGTGGTTCTCGGAAGTTAGAAAAGATTTTAACGTTTATTCCACTTGGCATTTTTTCGTTATGAATTTATAATGAGTCATCGGTTAACAGTTAATAACGGCGCTTTAGATACAAGAAGGAATCTGGATCCAATTAACTTTTGCAAAGACTTCTGAACTGGCTACTAGGGACAGGGCTCGTCCCTAGTAACGATCCCAGAAACAATTGCGGGACGCATTTCGTCTCCAGTTTCATTTTCGTTTCTAAAGTGGCGAAATTAATTTTGCTAAGAAAAGCCTTTCACTTCGAGTTTACTCGTCTACGTATAACTTGTACCATTGGCGTGGCTTATAAACCGATGAGGAGATAGTCGGTGGTAATATTTATAATTAACAAAACCTGGCTTTCGGATCATGTTTACCACCACAGTCGACAGAACAATAGGACGTCAAACGTACAGCTGAACCGCAGATAGAATGATATAGGAGGTTGTTCGAGGGGCAAATTCGGGGGGGAGGAGGATAGTCCCTTATATGACCTATTGCTGCTTTTCACATGACGTCACTAAAATTCAAACTACAAAACTATCGATAGAACAGATATTTTACTTTCACGATGTATTAGAGCAGCTGAAAACTAATTTTCATACGAATTTTCGCTTCAAAAGGAGTCTTGGTTTTGTGATAGATTACACTTGAATTTCTAAGCTTATGCGTGACGCGGCATTTACATGACGGCCAAGAGAGCTGTCATGTAGGTTAAAGAAATTACTTCTTTCAGGGAATTTTGCTCTCTAAACAGTTCATGTAGTAGAAAAAGTATTACTTTAATGTTCCTCGAAGAATAACTCACGCTTTTGCAGCAAAACTCGGTAACAGATGTTTCTGTTGGTTTCCGTCCGCCATGTTGGTGCTCATCCGGATGGACACCAGCATGGCGTCTCCATACAAATCTCTATTAAATTGTGAAAACATTTCTTCGGATATCTCATATACGAAATATTCCTCTAACCTGAATCTTGGCGAGGGTCTTTGCATATTTACCTCCTTTCATTTGCCAGATTCTGGACTTTATCTATTGGACAGTTTTGATTTTTATTTTGATCTATTTTGAATGGCGTGACAGCAATACGGGGATGTGCCGCTGGACAGGGTATGGTTTTCATCCTTTCTGTCCTCTACATTGTATATAATTTTGCTTAAAATTGAAGGCAAGACTGATTGGACAGATAAGATTTACAAATTTATTTGCCCAATATTTTGACTAGACAAAACTAGTCTTGATCAGGGGCTCAGTAGAAAAGCTAGACCCTGATGAAGACCAGTGTTGTCTAGTCGAAATATTGGGCAAATAAATGTGTAAAACCTTAGCTGTCCGATCAGTCTTGCTTTCAATTTTAAGTGTTATTTTATATTGCTGATCCGGATCTATGACAAGATCCGGCTTTCCCTCTCTGCTGTTTGTCCAAGTGGTCCTTGCAAGAATTGTTCACTATATAATTTTGCCCGAGTCTGTCCTAAACAGGGTATACTGTTTCGCGCAAGTCTTTCCTAAAGACTGTACATGTCCTTTGTCCTAAACAGGGCATGTACAGCGGCTCTCCTCTACGCAAATTATGGTAGAATATTCCCCCCCCCCCCCTCCCGGGCTGAAGTGTTAAATGTCAGCTGGTTAAAAGCCAAAATTATAATTCAAGTTTTTCTTTCTTGTTTGTTATTGTTTTCTAGCGTCTGTAAATATTTACGGTGCCACTTCCAAGTCGTTTATTTTCTCCCTGGTGGACAAGGAAGGACTTGCACCATTTAAGAGCATGGTAAAACATGCCAGTTCATCACATGCAATTTACCGTTGGTCAAGTTACGGTCCAACATTCGGTGATTGGCCGCATGAAATATACATTGCTAATAATGCCAATCAGAATTCTAAATCCTACACTAATTTTGGCAAATCTTACTCTCCTCCAAATGAAGTTACAGACCGTGATACAATCCTGGCTGGAGCTCAACACTTCTCACCTGACGAAGTTGAGGTATTTTATCGCGCTTGAGTCCTGTAACCCCCCTTGATTTCCACGCGCTGAAACCGTTTGAAATCAAAGAAATATATACTGCCCCCAAAAAGGAATTTAAGACGTATTGCAAAGTAGCGAGCATCAGAATGACTCAGCTGTTTGAATACTATAAAGTAGAGTCGACGTTAAGATCCGTGGAAGGCAAAAACGTCGCTTAAAAGCTGAACTCGCTTTCTTTCAATGTTGTCAAATGTAGGCGATCCCTCCTGGAGATGAAATTCTAAATATTATGCCCAAGTTCAGCAAAAGAAAGCAAATTTGTTCGTCGCTTGTTTACGTCCTCAATTAAAACGTGAAACTAGCCAGGCATTTTTTCACATCGTTGTCATGTACTGTCATGTAGTGATGGGAAAGAAATGTACAAAAGAGCGTGATGCACGTGCAGTGTACGTGTAAAGATGGAGTCTTGCTAAGGCTACGTTCACATAGCACGGGACCAATTTTCGAACGGATGAAAATTTTTGCGTTTACGTGTTCTGTTCTTTTCACACGGATCTAGCCCTCGACGATCTTAACCGTACAAAAATTTAGACGCTTAACTGTTCAAAGCCTCCGTGTGAACAGAGCGAAAATATTCGGTTAAATTTTCAGCCAGTTAGAAACTGGTAAACCTATAAATTCAGTCTTTTTTTACGTTTTTGCCACCATCGCTGTCCTTGGATCTTTAGGTCGTTAATCTGAACGGTATGCAGCGGTCTGCGACACAATCGGAACTCAGTCTGTGTCTAAGGTTTTCAGACGTTCATGGACATCAAAGGCAGATATTTAAACTGTTAGCGATTGTAGACTTTCCAGGTTTATTTGAATCGATTTGGTGCAAAAATGGTGCCAAACACAGGCCTGTAGACAACGCGACGTAGACCGGTCTCCGATCCGTGTTTCAGATCAATTATTTACCGTGTCATTTACGCTTCGCCCACACGTTTTTGGATATTTTTTAAAACCGAGACTTTTTTCTCCATTTTCCTCGTTTTTTTTTGCGTTTACACTTAGCTTCAGTTTGAATCATTTTCGCCACTCTAGATGAAAACGCTAAAACGATGGAAATACAATAATCTGATAACATCCCTACAGCATGATAACAGAGCGTAATGCTAGTAGTACAGTGTTTATGATGTTTTTATATTATCGTAACAATTTTTCGTCCGTCCACACGTAAACAAGAAGCCGGCGTTTTCCAAAATCTCCACTCTGGACAATATACCGTTTCTAAAAGCCTGCGGCTTTTTGGTGCCTTCAAAACCCGTTTCGTGTGGACGGAAGGCCAAAACGGAGAAAAGTACGTACACTGCACATTTCAACATAAACTGAGTTATTCATCATAATGACCAAGCATTTAATCCTATGTAAAGATTAACTCACAAGTTTTGAAAAAGTAAGAGGTGCTTTTCTAATACTGGTATGAGTTTAAATTGCATTTGCATTATGCTCACACAGGTATGGAGGTATTTCATTTATAGGGACGCTTCATGCTTAAGGAGCTAGCTATTACGCATGCGTCACACGTGACTCCAACCTAGAAATACTAGGACTTGTGGTGCCTAATCTCGTACCCAGATTTCACACCTGTCTTGGCCTCGGGAGATCTGGCTACGAAATGCAGTCAGGTAATGTAACTGAGGGTCATATTTACAGGTGTGAAAGTGTGACCTAAAGTTTAGTCAGGCTAGTCCCTAGGCGTTCCCTCTTGCCCTGTAGTCGTCGCAAGATAAAGTCTAGGAAGGGTGAGCGCGTCCCTCCCCTCTCGGCTGCGTCACAACTCACGGCACAGTCCAGGTTTGATTGGGCCAAGAACGCCTTAAGTCCTAAAGGCTATGTTCACAATATACCGGATAGCTTTTGCGATGGAAAGTAAACCATACCGGATAGGGCCTCTGTTCACGATAAAAACGGTGATTTTAAGGCGATTTCTATTACGGAGCTAAGCTACGCCTCCCCAGTCTCAAACGTAGAGAGTCACGTATTGGATATGATATGCGTTCACAGTATACCCAGCTTTTCATATGGGCACCAAAGAAACGCTATCCGCTGTAGTGTGAAAATAACCTATGCTAAAGTCCTGTGACACGGGCTCTAACCCTAATAATCAGTAAGACCTTCAGTCGCGCGGCAGTAACTTCACTTCAGTTTTACCCATCGGGAAAAAATAAAGGAACTTACGCCTTTGCGAAATGTTCTAGTGCCAGTAATGATCAATAAATGCCTGTAACAAATTTTAGTAAGTTCGACAATGTTTTGCTAATTATTAGTCGTCGTTGTATTTAACTGAGATTTATTAACTTGTTTGTTGCATTGTAAGCTCAAGTACAAGACGTTGTTTTTATAGCAGAGAGCAAATTTTCTTAGTCCCGAAAAATATATATATGGATCACAGATCGAGTAAAGTCTTATGAGGAAAAAAGTTAAGCTGGATCATCGATCCGCGAAGAAAAAACGTAGTATTGTATCTAAACAATAAAATGGATAACGGCTAAATGCAAAATTCAGTATACCTACCAATAACTGAGAAACTAAAAAAGTAAGAGAGTGTATTCGGCATACCAACCTTATTTCAAAAGATGAAATTATCATCCGGAAAAATTTCTAAAGAGGAATCCCAGCACCAATTTTCGAGAATAACAAATAACAAACAACAAGAAGAACATAAAAACAAAGGATGGCTTTGTACGTCGACTCGTCGCAGCTTATAATTTCGATGCTTTATTCGCCATAACCTTAATCCCCTTTGAATTTATACATGTGAGACTTTTTACTTTATCAAATATATACACGGGACGGATTTAATTTCAATACATGAGATTTGTGTGGCGATTACACTCTTCAAGGTACATTTTATTACCTGACTTGGAGAGATCGATATCGGTTAAATCATGTGAAAGTTTTCACCTTTCAGGTCACCAATGTTCCTTGTATGACATAATTCATATAAAGTGATTAAAAGCTCTTGGACTCAACACTTGCACAAGATCGAGAAAGCCATTCTAATGCATCTCAGCTTTCAGAACTGTCAAACGAGAACAAACAAAAATCAAAGATTGAGTGAGATGAGTTAAACTCTCACGGTATTTGGCTGGTCTACTCCCTGTTTGGCGTCTTCCATAACTTAAGCGTTTTTCAGGCGAGCGAGGAGCGGCAGACAACCGCGCTCGAGAGAAAAATTAACAGAAAAAAAAGGGCGTCGATAAAACCTGGAACATGGAACATTCCGGAACATTCCAGAACATGAAAAAATAAAAATAATTTTCATGAAAAAAAAAAAATATAATAAAATAATAAAAATAAAAAAATAATTTTTGTAAAAATTAATAACAACGTAAAATAACAAAAAAAAAAAAAAAACGAAATATAATGAAATAATCTGGAAAAAGAAACTGATATCCTCTCCGAGTGTGAGAAAACACTATTTTGTCGCAACAAATAGTGAGGGTTCGTGCAAATGACAGTAATGAGTGAAGGCTTGCTTCTAAATTCAAAATATATTAAAATGGGTCGCAAGGAGCGGGGTTTTCAAGCTTTCCTCACACAGCCACCTCTTGTAATGTTTGCCATAAGTTAATCATTTGGCGGTTAATCATTTACGGTTCTGCAATGGTCTGAAATGTCGGTGCATTATGTCATGTCAAGCCAAGTCGGTAAGTAGCTCATTTCAAGGCGACATATAGTTTCCTTATTGCTTACTTGGAGTGCTTTGCTTCCCTTGAGGTTGACATGAGTCAGCATGATATTTCAGACGTCTCCTCGAGTCGCAAGAAGGAGTTTGCGGGGAGACAGCTAAAATTCAGGCTAACTGATTGCAGTTAGAAACTATCGCTGCGCTACCACTGCCACTGCAACGTGAATCTTTAATTTAATTATCCAAGTCCAAAGCGACGAGCCCCAAAGCTCTTCTTACGGTCGCAAAGCCGTAAATGGATAACCGTTAAACCGCATGGCAAACATTTACAAGAGGTGGCTGTGTGAGGAAAGCTTGAAAACCCTCTCCTCGCGACCCATTTTCATATATTTTGAATTTAGAAGCAAGCCTTCACTCATTACTGTCATTTGAATGGACCCTCACTCGCCCAAACAATTCATTGCGACAAAATATTGTTTTTTCATACTCAGAAATGATACCAGTTTCAGTTTCTTTCTTTCATTGTTTGTTTCTTTATTTTTCGTTTGTATGTTATGTTATGTTATTTATCTTGTTATTATAAAGTTTTGCAAAAACTGTTTTCTATTGTTCTTTTTATTATTTATTATTATTATTATTATTATTATTTAATTAATTAATTATTTATTTTTTCATGTTCCGGGATGTTCCATGTTCCAGGTTTTATCGATGCCCGTAAAAAAAGTCCTCGCCTTCCCTAATCGCGCGACTGGGTGTCTAGCACTCCAACTTCGCTTTGTGTTTCTTACTTCCAAAAAAAGCGAAAAATAACGGCCGTTCTACAGCCTAAGTTATAACAAGCCACTGACGAATTTAGATGAGTTGTAAGATCGTTTTGCCTATTATATTATCAGTCTTCGTTCAGTTCTTAGCTGAGATTTATTAACTTGTTTGTTGTAAACAAAAGTACAAGGAGCTTTAAATAGCGTGAGCCTTTATAGCTTTCACCTTTAGTACAAAAAATGTATTACAGAGTGATCAAGTCTAATGAAAAAATAGAGTCAATAGGATCATCGATCCAAGACCAGGTGATTGTACTGTAAACTTCTCAGCAAATGCTAAAGTACAAAACCAGAGAAACAAGAGAAAGACAAACTAAATAAGACAGTCAGAGAGTGTATTCGGCATTCAAACCTGAATTAAGAAGCGAGTTGCAATATACCCTGAAAATGGCCAGTGAATAGTCGTACTATTAAGGAAAGGAGCAAGACAAGAAGGGGTCAATATCGGTTTGTCATCTAAAATTTAGGTAAGAATTCACTACTTGCTGGTAATGAAGTCTCATATATTCTCTATAATTATCAAAAAGGTCCGTTGCCGATTGTGTTTTTGCATTGGGCACGGACTCAAGAAAGCCATTCCAAAAAGGCTAGCTGTTTTCAAGGAGGAAGGAAGATCCAAGCGCCAGTAAGATCCCTAAAAGGCGGATAATTTAAGTGTTGAACTAGTCATAAGCGCAAGCCGGGTCTTCCTAATGCTAGGATCTTCTTGGCTTAGAGGTAGGACGATCTTTCTACTAGGAACAAACCAGACAAATATGGTGGCGGGTAGGGCATTGGAGTAATCACGGCAATAAACATGCAAAGCCGACCATTTCGTCTGTCGTTACCATGAGCTGATTGATATGACAGTTCTGCTGAAAGCTGGTAGTTATGAAAGCCAGTAAAGAGAGCACAAGGGCCCAAACTGCACTTTTGTTTTCGTCGCTCTCAATTTTTAATTCTTTCTCTACTTGGGCACGAAACGGACCGTAACTTCTGCATGTAAGTTACCCAACGAAAAGTTGTCTCGGCTTCTAGTATCTTTCCTGGTACCAGGATCTTCCACCCTCCTAGAATAGCAGCTGTGTGATAGGAAAGCTTATAAGAGGTAGCCACTCCTAAAAAGTTCTTGTACTATACATAATTTTCTTGTTCTATGTACTTTTTGAGAAACACAAGTTATAATAAATGGCACTCTTCAACACCAACATTTTTGCTTGTTGTCAGACTTGATGCCTTCAAGAAACCCCCGCAACATTCCCTTAATGCAGTGGGATTAGTGTACTCTAAAATATATCAACCCTCTTTGTGATAAGTCATGTTTTGAGTGCTTAGTGTCCCCTGAATGGAGGTCAACCCAGGTTTTGGGACCCAGAAAATGTGTTCCTCTCCCCTGAAAAGAGGTGTCCCTTCAATAGCGGTAACAAATTCAAAGATTATGTGGAAGTTTTTTTTCCGGGACCAAATTTTGTGTCCCCTGAATGGAGGTGTCCCATGAATAGGGGCTTCCTAAAGGAGAAGTTCCACTGCAATCATGTCCAGCAATTAACAAGACACGACTACAGAAAGCAGCAGGTAGCACCTGTAGTCTCTTATGAAGCCTTTCTCTTACTGGGTACGTTTTTTTTTTTTTTTTTTTTTTTTTTTTCACAAAAAGATTAGACGTAATTTTTATATGCAAAAATAAATTTAAAAACATGCCGGAGGAATTGTTGATGGGGCTATCATCCTCTAAGCCGCTATAGAAGATATTACTACGGACACCTTTCACAATAACAAGTGGAAGTTAAGCAAACACCCCTTCATATTAGCGTGCAGTCATTTACTATCACAACCATTTCCCGGCTTTTGACAATAATTACGAACGTCAAATGGGATGAAAACGAGACTTGTGCAACCCATTCTTAACAATTTAAGCAACCCAATCCTCAATTTTATGTTTTAAAGCATTAATTTGTATTAAGGTAATTCCCTTGGTTTGCACACCCTCTACTGCGCATAATACTGCGACATCCAAGACGGCGACGTTTCTTCCCACTAGCGCGAAAAGAACAAACAAGGGCCGCTTTTGCAGAGCTAATGCCGCAGATCGGCTGACAGCTTCCTGGTTTGCTATCGAAAAACAAGAAAATGAAAGAAATGTCCGTGATCCCAAAGTTTGCAGTGGTTTTTCACTTCGCGGCCGTCGATCGAGTTGTGGAATTATTAAAACGTCCTGGCTGATGATGGGGGCTGTGAAGCCTGTGGAACAGCTTTACGGCTCTCCAACTGCATTGACGAGCCAATATTTTGCCTGGGATTGCTACTTTACATATGTTGTTCAAACTCCGAGATTGGAGAGACGAATATTTCTGAAACAAATAAGACCCACAGTAGCACCAGAACCACACGGGTAGACCAATCTTTGATGTAAACACGAAGTTTGCTGCTGAATTAACATTTTGCTGTGCATAGAAACCAAACAGGTGAACACATGAAGAATAGGAATCAACACGCTTTTCTTCAAGTTTCTTTGTCAAGCATTATTGCGCTCACTGGAATTAAAGAGAACGCTGGCGCTACAAAATAGTCCAAAATAAAGAGTCATAACTCAAAAATATCGTCAAATCTTGACATCCCTCATTCCTTGGTATTTGCTGCACTCTTTTCAAGTTTGAGTTTCCGTGTTGGCGATATCAAACACATAAAAACAACCGAAAACAAGCATGATCTCCAGTGCATACTTCGAACACGATGGGCGCTATTTTGTATCTCGCCCCAGTCTCCGCCGCTCAAATTATCCATCCTGACCGCGATCTCAAAACCATGTCCATCTTTCACAGCAGTTTGTGAGGAAACAAGCACAGTGACCCCCATTTTGTTCCCCAGGCTTTTGCTAAGAACAGTCTAATAAAGAACATGTTTGAAGAAGAAAAAAAGTTTGAGAGTTGGACAAGAATTTTTTAAAATAGTTCCGTTTTTGGTGTACTGGGTCAAGACAAAGACTTCAAGCTAACCACGGAACTGTCCGAAAAAGTGGAATATCCCCACCACCAGGCAATCAAAAACGAACTAAAAGAAGCAATACTGTCTATTTAAATAAAAGAAGCGTTATGTTCAAGATAAAATTTTGTGTGTTTCAAGTAACAAAAAGTCAATTCTGTAAGAAGGTGATTCGAATTTTTAACGCTCAACCTATAAAAATACCCCAGCTTAAGAGCCTGCTGACGCGTAAACAAGCACGGTGACCCTATCTTTTTATTGCATTTTTTAATGTTTATATCTTGAATATTGATTATGCCAAGTTTCAAAATAAATGTTTGATAGTGGAACAATTTCAACGGAATTACATTAATTATTATTCTGTTTGAGTTTAAATAAAAATTGACTTGACTTGCAACACCAGATCCCATCCCTTCCTTTTTAAAGTGAGTGGAATGACTTCAAATTTACTTCAACCAAAAGGATTGAATATTCGTTAGCTTCTAGTATTGCAGCAAATTTTAAAATCTACCCTCCACAGTTACACAATCCCTCCCTCCCATCCCTAACGTTGTATAGGCCACCCTCTCTCCCTCAAGCCTAGCGAGGTTTTGCGAGTTTTTAGTTTTAAAATTCTACTGGTTGCTTTACTTTGTGGAGCCAGAATAGTTTGATTTGTCGACTGAAGGATGTTTCTGAGAGGTGAGCTTAAAAGTACACTCGGCGAATACTGTTGCTACCATGTTTGTCTTCTTTTGGTAGTGTGAGGGGCAAAAAGTCGGCCCCTTCTACTGTTAGCAACTGACAGTACTGCTTTCAGTATATATATAGACTTTTAATGCGGCTGGTATTTAGATTAAAAGTTAGTCAATGAAGCTGTAAAGGTAGTTCCGAGCTTAGACTATGTTTTATGTACTCTATTCTTGACTGGCATTGATCTACGGCTGATGTTGTTTTCTTAAATAGTTTTACTAACACGGCTTACTTGAGTTCGCTGGGTATTTCTGGTAGGCATGCCGTTTGTTGTTTTCATTAATTTTTTGTCGTCGATTTAGCTTTTTCTTCAAATAAATATCCTGATGATATTACTTCAACGAGTCGTCATTCATTCGGCAGAGGAGATTATCCACCGATGTACTTTTTTGATCAGTGATGTGGGAGCTGCTCCTCTCATGGATGAGAGGACAACAAACATGCCCAGGCCTCTTTATAATGAATGGATGTAAAAATTATCCCCCTGTGGACAGAGCCGATTATACGGAGCATCATCTACCAAATACGCCTTTGGAATTTTTTGACTTTCTGATTAAACCAAACTGCTAAGCGGAAGCAATTTTTAGTCAGTCGGCGGCCCATGTTGCACGGGAAATTTAAATCTCAGTACACGTTGTCAATTTCCTCTAGTTTCCTACTCTTATTGAGCCCTTCCTTAGAGAAATGAGAAACGCCACGTTACCATGAAAGCAAAATTTCTGAATCTCGACAATCTTTCTTGATACAGCCTGACGGTCATTTTCATTTCCGAACGACTGACAAAAGGCCGATGGGCTGCCGTTCTGTTCCTGATCATGAGTGCAATCATGCCCCCAAAATTCACACATATCATTTTTTTTCCTGCCATATTTGCAGGACCAAGGTTTGTTGTGATCGAAAAGTTTTGCTACCATGGCAACGTGACGTAACAACGTCTCCTCTCGATTTCTAATAGCACATTGTATTTTTTTTGTTTTTTTTGTTTGTTGGTTTCTTCTCCTTTGATGTACGATTTAGTTTGAGACTCAGGGAAGTTAAAGCAGGTTGTGAAGGTTTTGCTGTAAACATGTCGTTACCCTTGGTTTTGCTTTTATTAACTAACCCTTTAATTTTCAAGTACGCATATGCGTACGTACGTGTTTTTAGATAGCTACATCCCTACAACTATCGTTTATTTATTGACATTTACGAACCATCAATATTAACAAGCCTTTATACATATGATTTGCAACTTTTACCTAAATTCAGACCATTCAATGAAATTATTTTACACGTCAACATTTATTTTTTTTTTCGATTTGCATAATTACCTACACTTAGCGACGTTAGATCCTAAACTGTCACAAAAGACTGGACTATACGATGGAAAGATAGGCCTCTTCAGAAAAGGAAAGAACAAATTTCCAATAATTTGGCTCTGAACCCAATAAGAAAGGAATTTGCTTAATTGTTTAAAAAATTGTTTGAAAACTGTCTTCAGTATTCAATTAGTTGGAATTAATTTGGTCAAATAGAAGCCTTTTTTAAAAATTTACTTAGAGTATAGCAGTTTGTCAAAGAGGTGCAACACCACGTGTCTATCAATGCAATAAAAAGATCGAATTTCAGTCTGTTTTGACAGCAAGGAAGCTAACAAACGCATTTAGACCTAGACAACTGAAGCTTTCTTCAAACAAAGGTAAATTTTTGAACAAGACCGTGGCCGACTGCGCTGCGACTTACTCTAACAACATGGAAGGCTATCCACTACTTCTCAGAAACTATGTCGTCGTAATGGGGATCTTTGCTACATTTCCAAGTATTTCTACAGGTGACACTCTAACCTGTGTTCGTGTAGTCTGTATTTTTAGTAGTCTGGGTCCCTTGGAACATATTTTCAGTACATTCCTAAAGCTTTCATTTTTTTTTACTTTTTCCTTACAGCTTTCAGTCAAGGATCGATTGGTAACTTTTTCTACGTCAACTCATTGCCAGAAATTAGGGACAAGATGGCGGTTGCGCGTGCGCACTAAGGCCACAATGGCTGCGAATTCGTATAAGAAAATGTATGGAGATAACGAAACTTTTTCAAATATATCGATTATAAGCTCACGGGTGTTCGGTGCCCGACTCGAAACATGTTAAGTGTTGTGTAACCCTCGCATCTGGGTTAAAAATAGCTAATTAGAAGTAGGTTTACTTACTTCCTGATGTGGCCACTTTTATTCCTTGTTGTACGCTCCATTTCTCCATACATTGTCTTAAAATCTTGCCGAAGTCATGCGAAATACTCGTCGATTAGAGGATAAACCCTTCACTGAAGTAAATTTGCCCGACTCGATATCACTTCTGCGATGGAAGATGTTTCCAAAACAGTCGTTAAAAGGACGATTTTGCACTGCAAAATACTTCCAAAGGCGCATTATTTCCCCTCAGTTTTCCATCTGTAGTCCAGTAATGGACGCCATGGTTGCGAATGACACATTTCGGTCGGACAAAGCTTCACAACTCAAACCTCACCGAATCGCCATTTTGTTTGTTGCTACAACTCCAGAGATGCTTCACGGGATATAAACTAGGTTCCAGGCATTCAAAAATCCTCGATTAGCCTACCAGGCTTGGTTTTAAAAACAAAATTGTCACGAAAATGTCACGAAAATGTCACGAAAGGTACATCCGCGTACTGTTTTGTTGCTATCAGCCGCTCGGCCGCGTATAAACCTAACATTTTCTTGCAAGGTGTTTAATTCCAGCTTTTTTCTTCGTAAAACAGATCCACAGAGCTCAAATTATTTAAAAAATCGCAAGGGATACGCTTTCCCTGACTACGATAGTTTTTGTCCGCCATTTTAAAAACGAGATTCCGCTGACAATTGATCACGGGCGCGAAATGTCCACGATTTCTGGCAATGATGATAAGTGAATTTTCCTACCTGAATATCACAAGTATTGGACGAAATCTTATTCAAGACGAAAACGATTGTGGCTACGCCTGTTTAGAAAATTCTTCATGTTTTTCCTACAATGTGGCTGCCTTCCCTGATGTCAACGGCAAACTTCTTTGCGAACTCCTGCCATCGGACAAGTTTAACAACTCGGACAAGTTCAACGCCAGTAAAGAGTTTCATCACTTTTATATTCCGGTAAGTCAAACATCTAATTAATCAGAAATGTTCCTTCTGGGGAAAATAAAAAGTTTCTTCTTGTTTGTTTGTGTAATTATTTTCTTTTGACTCTCGCTAGTTTCGAAAGTTAGCATTTGTAGATCAAAATTTACCTCTTCGCTTGGCAAATCTTGAATGCAGTGGATTACGTTGTGCTTCAAATGCAAAGGAATTGGCTAATGAGTTTGGATAAAAAAAATAAATAAAAAAACCTCATAAAAGTCTTACAACCAAGTTAAACCTTTCAGTTAAACCTTTAATTTGACCATCTGCTGATGCCCAAACATACTTGATGAAATCGATATATTTATGTTCGAATGTCCTAAACGTTAGTGAGGGGAGAGTTGCAGACAAAGGTCTCGACTGAAATATTTTTCGACAAAAGCGTTCAGCTCTTAAAACACATTTGTCATATCATGAATTTGCTTATTATTTGCTTGCATACTTGGCTTGCCTTAAAAGTTACAGAAACGTTTTAATATTCCTATTTTAGGCTAATCTTTTGCCGGTTAGACTATATCAGTACAACGCCTTGAAATTCGGTAGCATCTCTGCAAATTTCTGGGTAAATGAAACAGCGTTACTCTCAAAACCTCACTAAATACTCAACTGAGCAAACCCACGGGGGAGTGCAAAAGATAAAAATGTATATTGCTTGCCGTCCTTAATTATATCGATGTCATCTAAGCATCGACATGTATGTCAAATTCGTTGCTTTTTGAATCCATGAAACAAAGCGAAAGGGAAACAAAGAAAATTTAATCCCAACTTTTGTAGGTTTACAGTAAGCTGAATTTAATCTAGGGTTCGGCTCGTTGAAGTAATTGACCTCATATAGTGAAGACAATGAATGTCTATAGTTTTCGTGCTGAAAGTTAACTGAGGCCCCGAAACTTTCTCTCTTGCTAGTGCTTTTCTTGTTCTGTTTGGACATTACTATGGCAACACAAAGTACCTGACCTGTTAACCTATGGGAACATTCAACTGACGAAATTCGTACCCATTAAACGTTCCTGACAATAAATGAATTTAAACGAGTAAACTGCCTTGTCGCAACAGTATTTATTGTTTCGAATTCTTCGTTCTTTTTCACACACGCCAACCACTTTGATGCTAATGTTTGCCTGATTCAATAGGATATTGCCATAGCAACGCACATTCAAAGATAGGACTGCCACCTGTAACTGATGAACCGTTCGTGTTTTGTTATTTAAAAAAACAGCTTTTGTTATTGCGTCACAAGAAACACATGTTACTGGCGGTAGAAGTTCTACACTATGAAAAAGCAAGCATCAAGTTTTCCAAAAAACGGAGACAATAATTAAGGGACTTATCAAAGTCTGCTTTACATTTGTTAGAGCTGCGCAAAATTCCCCTTACTTGATCTTATTTTAATATTTCCAATACATGTATTTTTTTATCTTTTCTTTCATCTTCCTTATTTCGAGAAACACCTCGATTTTTGTAGCCTGTTATATAGGCTCCGAGATAGTAGTGCAGGGGGAGAAGGGACAGAGAGGACCATATTTTTTTCCCGCCGCTATCCCCTTTCCTAGATCGCGTGCGTCTTATTTTAAATAGGTTTCCTTCTTTTATCTTACCGATGTCGTTACTTTGAGATCCTACGCAGTATACCCGTAAGTTCAACATGGATGATTGAAAACAAGCCTAAAATTTCGAATTTATTAGGTTTGCACAAAGTCTAGTTATTAGTAGATTTCTTGATGAGTTAGTACACAACTTACGATTTGTTACCCCCACTTTTTAAAACAACTTAGCCAAATTTTAAAAGTATTTAATTTTTTTAACAAAATAAGACAAAAAGTAAGCATGTTCAACAGTTAAGCACTCGTTGAATCCACGCTACATGTATATATCAAAGGCGACAAAAGCAGATAATTTTCGTACCAGTCTTTGTTCACTTATTGGCTGCATATCTCCTCCTGATAAAAATGTTAACATTCGCATAAAAGTGATAAAGTACCTCTAAAGAAACTGTGTTCAGCCTCCTTAAAGGCCAACTGAAAGTCAGGAGGAAAGAATTGTGCCCGAAAAAAAAACGTTTTAATTCTTAGATTGCAAGAAAATGCAATTTAATTGGACGAAGAAATTTACAAAGTATAAGGAATATAAGATGGAGTTTCATTAGAATTCATAGAAAAACGCAGAAAAAATGCATTTAAAAGATATCCTGACCAGCTACGACAGAGGCCAAGCAGTGGCTCTTTATGCCATCGTCAGGCCACTCGCCGATATATATCTGCAGCCTGTTCATCCTACATCCTGGGCTGCGTCAAAAGAATGCATTGACCAGAAGCAACTAGCTGAGAATACAACAGGCTGTGAACCCACTCACTGGGGCAATTAATGCAGGCATTAGATATAGCTTCTGTTCTCGTTCAGCAAAACCAGCCGGAGGCTCCCTGAAATAATTTGATGACCAAGCGAGTTAAATTCATTTAATTACACAAGCTTATTGCATGCTAACTGAAGGGAATTTTAGTTTGTAATTGCGCTAAAAATGAAATTCAACTTTCAAATCATCTGCGATTATTTTAGGTGCCGAGAGAGGAGAATCCTGATGAATTTTAGAAAGTGCTCACCGCTAAGATGTTTTATTTATTTATTTCTGTATTTTTTTTATTCAGTCATTCCGTTCGCTTAGACACAGATATGACTAATGACAGCAGTTTGGTAGCCTGAAAAGTGGAAGTGCCTTGTGTTTTCTCATTTGTAGTAACAAAATAAAGTCCGGAAGATTCATCGATATTTTGTGGGCATTTTCACTAAATAAAACATTTATTCAACTCGCACTTGTTCCATAGAGATGATATAGCCAACCAATACCCAACAACTCGCAGGTGGAATAATTGTACATGTAACTAAAACTTGGAGCTCAACTTGGTCGACGAAAGTCAATAGCTGAATCTGCCGTAAATTCAGCATACGTGTAATATGCATAAATGATTAGTGCGTCACGTTACTGGATTATGTTTTGACTTTGCCATCAAATGGTCTTTACTTACAGCCGTATGCTTTCCTTTGTGTAGTCTCCTTGTGACAGTTCCCCCTGTAAGAACACAGGAAAATGCATTTCGCTGTACCATAATGTGATATAAGTGCATCTGCGTGAAAGGATTCACCGGAAAAGACTGCGAAACGAGTAAGAAATACTGAGCTGAAACAATGTTGCCACTAACTATAACACAATCACAGGTGACACACTATTAACGCACTTTGCACGTGGGAGCGGTAATCAGAATAAAGCTTTTGTACTGATTTTAGGTATTATATTATTGACTTTTACTTCTTTGAGCTCACTAAAACAAAAAAAAATCTAACTGAGAAGATTTAAAAACTGCTTTGAGAGAAAAGTGACCAATAAGTATCACGCTGAACTTTTACTTTTCCTTATAGTTTCCCGACCACAAATTTCAATTTCTCTGCTTGATCGGTGAAGTGACCTATTTATAGACACGTTTCTCCACCAACCCCTAGAACAACGTTTACATTTACTAGTTGTATTTTGACTCTTGCTTAAGTCTAATGTACCTTAGCTGAAAGGTACATTTAGCATTTTCTTTGTTTTTGTTTTGTTTTTTTAATATCTTTGATCCTCTCTCCTGCAGATATAAATGACTGTGTCAATATTACTTGTTTGAACAACGGAACTTGCATCGACCTAATCAATGGCTTCAACTGCAATTGCCCTTCAGGATTTGCCGGCAACCGATGCGAAATTGGTTAGATACTTGTTATTTGCATTGCATTTCCGCCAAAACACAAAACCATACAGCTAATGTAGGAAGCTGTTGAATGCGGATGGCTGATAAATATGGACCAATTTTAAATCCTACATGGATCCGATATCATTAACAATGATATCTTCCCGCAAGTTTCGTGCACGGGGATAGCTGGATATAAAATGTCCCCAGCAAATTTACACGACTGTGAAAAAAATTAGTTGCATTATTATATGGCTGAGTCTGTTTTCGCCATGCGATTGGTCAATTTGCGGTACGTAACTTGCTATAAGGACCAAAATTTTTAAAGAAAATGCTCATTTCGGAGGTCTAAATCTCTTTACCTGGGAAAAAATGTTTAAATAAAGTTATAAAACGCCTGTCAACCTTGAGGACTTGGATGTTGACTTTGGCCTTCAACATTTTAACTGTGTTTATTTGTGAACGAAGGCGATGAAGAAACTAACTCGTAATCTTATCGAACAGGATTCTAGTCAGTGTTTGAAAATTTTATCGTAGTACACAGTTAAGAAGACGAAAATCGACAGGCAGAGATTCGAGATGTTTTGCCTAAGAGAAAATGAGTAATTCCTTCAACAAATATGATAACAAACATACCTCCACCCGATTATCTTGACAAGCATCTTTACCATTTGCAGTGTTTTTTCAAAGACCAACGAAAGAAAGATAGAAGCGAGTTCGAGCCAGACACAATTATGTCCAGTTTTCAAAAGACTCCAGCGCTACATTAACGAGTGAATACTTACAGTGCTCTGAGTTTCCATCGCATAAACTTTGAAATAAGTATGTGAACTCTGAGGACTGGGATGTTGACTTTGCCTTTCCAAATTTTAACCTGGCTCTGTTTTAATGAGAATGAAGCTGGTGTAGAAACTGACTCGTAACCTTACCGAGGAAGAGAATTCTCGTTGGTGTTTAAAAATTTCAACGCAGATCACACTTGAAGACGAGAATGAACTGGCAGAAAGAGAGGTTTTCCCAAAAACAATTAACGAGCGAATCCTTCGACAATGACAACAAACTTACCTTGAAAAGTTTCTTTGCCTTTTGCAGTGTTTTTTTCAAAAGGACAAACGGAGGAAAGATGGAAACGACTTCTAGACAGACACAACGTCCGTCCGGTTTCCAAAATACTCCGCGTTACATTAACGAGCTAAAACTTACTGTGCTCTTAGTTTTGACCGAATAAACTTTTTTAACATGGCAAATTTGTTTTTACTTTCTCGGAAAGCCTTTGTTATGTCCTATTGGTTTCGTGCGCCAATAAAAACTTTCTTTTTTGACACCTGTCAAATGACTGCCAAATCGTGCGTCCTGCACTTGTTTCCGGTCCCCCAAACAGGAAGAAGCCATATAATAAACATCTTATAAGCCTCGTTTTTTCGGTCCGTACTGTAAATTACGGATCCTTGTTTTTTTCCATCGATTTATGCATGGCCGCAAGCGCGAATAAATCGATTGGAAAAAATCTCGGTCCGTAATTTACAGTACGGACCGAAAACTCGGCTAATAAGAGGTATTTTTTCTCTTTCACCATTAGATGTTATCTCAACTGTGGTAACACAGTTTCTTTCGCCTGCGATTGGGAATGACAGCAACTGGGCCCTGTGTTGGCAGACCTCCACTCATGGCTGGGCTGTCAGTACCTTCCACAGCAGATGTGATGGGAAAAATCATACGATTACGGTCATCAGAAAAGACCAGTACGTGTTCGGAGGATACACTGATATTCCTTGGTGTAAGTGACTTTTTCGCCGGGGGCGGGGCAATAAAAGGGACGGAGTCCGCAAAATTAATATTAAACCCCTAAAGAAACCAATCTGGAGTGGCTTAGGCTATATTTGACAAATAATAAAACAAGTAACCAATTCCAGAACCAATCAAGAGCTTTAATGATCATGAAATTGCCTTGTGCGAAATATATCAAAACTGAATGCAGTATTCTACACAAAAAGGCGCCAGTTAGTTGCAAAAAATAATAATAATAATAAAACACTGACTAGAACCGTACAGTACGTACGTGAATACAGTCACTTTGACAACAGATAACTAGTCACGACATTTGAGATAAATATTATCCTCGTAGACTTGTGTATTGACATGGTTTTTTCAGTAGACATCAGGAGCTTGTATGTTTTGGTTTGTTGAATTAAAGTTAAATTCCCCTGGGACCTTCACTGGGAAAAACATAGCCTCCCAGGCAGACGTTCTTAGGGGTTCGTCACGCAGGAACGCGTGACGAACCTCTAAGAACGTCTGCCTGGGAGGCTAGGAAAAACATAAAACCTAAAGTGGTCTTTAAATAGTGGGTGTCATTTACGTACCTGTAATACCTACAGCGGTTGCTGTCGCAATAACCTTCTCTTTTGAGTATTCTGTTTAACCATTATATAGCGGATAAAAGACTAGCTATATCACTGTGACTCTTGCTTAAAGAACTGTCTTCTGTAGACAGGGGAATGACTAGCTAAGCTTGTATTTCTAACAATGGGCCGTAAACAGAAACTCCTGCAGTAAAGGAATTCCTTCTTTGTGGATCTTGAACAGCCCTAAAATTTGTGGGGGTGGGGAGAGAAGAGCCTGCTGTGTTAAGGATATCAAGGGGACCCATCCACCCGCCTCCTTTTAGGCGTGGTTCTCGGAAGTTAGTAAAGATTTTAACGTTTATTCCACTCTTTGCATTTTTCTTTATGAAGTTTTAATGAGTTATCGGTTAATAGTTAACAACGGCGCTTTAGAAACAAGAAGGAATCTGGATCGAATTAACTTTTGTAAAGACTTCTGGTACTGTTACTAGGGACAGTAACGATTCCAGAAACAATTACGGGTCGCATTTCGGCTCCAGTTCCCTTCTCGTTTCTAAAGTGGCGAATTTAAGTTTGCTAAGAAAATCCTTTCACGGCGGGTTTACATCGTCTACGTATAACTGCTCCATTTCCGTGGCTCATAATATCCAGAGGAGATAGTCGGTGGTAATTAACAAGCTTTCGGACCATGATTACCTGCACAGTCAACAAACAATACGCACAGCTAAACCGCACATAAAACGATATAGGAGGTGGTTCAACGGGCAGTTCCGGGAAGGGGATAATATCTTATATGACCTGTACGGGGATGTGCCGCTGGACAGGGTATGATTTTCATCGTCTCTGTCCTAAACAGGGCAAACAATTTCTGGAATGCTTGGAACGGTCGAGGTGTAAGGACGTGTACTTCGGTGCTCCGCCTTTTGGGGTGTTATTTATTCTTTGCAATTCGATGCCTCCGAAATGGAAAGATCGACCCAAATCTTCTTCCTCGGACGCCTTTTCGCCCGAGTAAAAAAAAAAAAAGAAGTTTTATGATGTAAAGCTCAAGGGTAATGGTGGTTACTAAGGGAACTAGAAAGTAGGAGTAATCGCTTTGCATCTTCAAAAATGTGTTTATGGCGGAGCTCCGACCAAATAGTCGTCCGGATTGTACAAACAATTAGACGCACTACCTAAAGGTCTTAGTTCGCACCAGCTCATAACTTTCCATTCCTAGTGAAAGAGCCCGTAACTAGTAGTGTATTGTTTATGCTCTCTCTGTAGTAGTATAATGTCCGTTTGTAGAAGTCGCAGCAAGAGGTTTTTTTCTTTTTTTTGCTTTTATCGTGTGTGCCGTCTGTATAGTTTTCGTTAGCTACATCCTTGCTTGGCTTTATAGATATTTGTTACGGTGGATGGTTTTTCAATGCAGAATAATAATAATTGGTTTTCACCATTATAATTCTTAAATATATGTTCATTGAATGTTAGAGGCTTATCATGGCAAGCTAAACGAAGAGAAATGTTTAATTGGCTCAGGGAGAAAAATTTCCATGTTTTTTGTTTTTACAAGAGGTGCACTGTACGAAGGAAACCTGTGATTCATGGCAAAATGAATGGGGTTATAAAGCTTTATTTAGCTGTGAAAATAGTCGAAGGGCGGGTGTGGCCATTCTTTTTAAAAATAATTTCGATTTCGTTTTAAACAGGGATTACGCAGACCCAGGTGGTCGTTTTATCATTTTAGAAATTAAGACCACAGACTTATGTTTTACGCTTGTTAATCTCTACGCTCCAAATAAGGATGACCCCCTTTTCTTCCAAAATGTTAAAAACCGAACACTCGAATTTGATTGCGATAACATCATCTTGGGTGGACATTTTAACTTGATTAAAAATGCTAAATTGGACAAGGAAGGTGGCATTCTCGGCACCTCGCAAACGAAAGCGCTCACCGAAGTAGAAAAAATTCAAATTAACCTTGACCTAAGCGATATCTGGCGTGACCAAATCCCCTTGACAAGAGATTTACATGGAGAAGGCGTAATCCATCTATATCCTGCCGACTTGACTTTTTTCTTTTAAGTCGTCATCTCTATGGTAAAGTGGCTAAGTCTGATATCGTAGCTGGTTACAAAACCGACCACTCTATGATAAGCCTCAGCTTAGGTCTTACCGAAAACATCAGAGGCCCTGGGCTATGGAAACTTAACACCTCTTTCCTGATAGACGAAGAATATTTAAAATGCATCAAGAAGGTCATCCTTAAAACATGTGATGACTACAAAGACGACAAGGATGTGGATGATGCCTTGTTGTGGGAGATGATTAAACTTAAGGTTAGAGAGTCATCAATTTTTCACGGAAAAGAAAAAGCTAAGTCCAAGCGAACGGACGAAACCAAACAATACGATACGATCACCTACCTAGAGAAAAAAAATTGATGGCACTATGTCCCCCATTTTAAAAGGGGAATTGGAGCAAAAACTGATTGAGGCAAAATAGAACTTGGAAAAAATGTACGAATATAAAACCCAGGGAACTATCTTACGGTCCAAAACCCGCTGGTATAATGAAGGTGAAAAAAATGCAAAATACTTTTTCAACTTAGAAAAACGTCACCTCATGATCAAGTGCAAAGTTATAACTCATCTTTGTGGAGCTGACAACACAACTTTAACATCCGATAATGATATTCTCCAAGAATGTGTTGACTTTTATAGTAAACTATACAGCAACAGATCAATACACAATGAAAGCGATAATCTCCGGTTTTTCACCGCAGATGACAATTTTGTGCGGCTCGACGAGGATTCCAAAGCATCCTGTGAAGGTCTTTTAAATGTGAATGAATGTCTAAATGCTCTCAAGACGATGGAAGCAAACAAGTCGCCAGGCTCAGATGGGTTTCCAGCAGAATTTTTTAAGGTTTTATGGAGTGACATTGCCCCCTTTTTAGTGAATGCTATTAACTGCTCTTTTCAAAAAGGGCTACTATCGGTGATGCAGCGACAAGGTATTATTTCTCTTTTACCAAAGAAGGACAAAAAACCCTCTTTTTCTAAAAAATTGGAGGCCAATTTCTCTTCTAAACTGCGATTATAAAAGCGATAGGTAATCGAATAAGGCGGGTTTTTCCTAAAATTATCAATGGTGATCAAAGTGGCTTCTTGAAGGGACGCTCTATTGCAGAAAATATTTTTCTAATTGACAGTATTATAAATTACGCAGGTAATATGAATAAACCTGGTTTATTGATGTTCATTGACTTTGAGAAGGCATTTGACTCGATAGAGTGGGCTTTTATAGAAAGAGCCCTTAACTATTTCAATTTTGGGCCCTCTCTAGTAAACTGGTTCGGATTATTTTATAATCAGGTCTCCATTGCCATCCAGAACAATGGATGGGTTTCGTAGAGCTTTTCTTTAGGTAGAGGGTTCAGGCAAGGTTGCCCGATGTCGCCATATCTATTTATAATATCGGCCGAGATATTAGCCAATTTCATTAGGAGAGATAAAGACGTAAAAGGTTTTATGACGGGTGAAGTCGAACACAAGCTAAGCCAATTTGCTGATGACACGACGTTGATACTCGATGGCTCAGAGGGCTCCTTTCGTAGACCAATCGAGGTTCTAGATGGGTTTCAAGTGACTTCTGGCCTTAAGGTAAATTCTGAGAAAACCAAAAGTGCTCTGTTGGGTTCGGCAAAAAACAGAGGCCCTATAGAGTGCTACAAACCTGATATCTCCTGGGTGGAGGGGAAAGTCTTTGCATTAGGTGTGTGGTTCGCAAAGGACAGAAACGTAATGCTCCGTTCTAACTACGATGAGAGGATTGGGAAAATAAAAAACGTTATTGAAACATGGCAATTTAGGAGACTCACCTTATTGGGAAAAATCACTCTTATCAAAACAGGGGCACTCAACGTCAATTTTCGGAAAATATCTGTTCGGAAGATGATTTGAGATCTAGAGTTTTCGGAACATTTTTTGTCAAGTTTCTTGCTTTTGCCTGCCTCTCCTAGGATTTTCAAACATCTAAAACATGGTATAATTGCCCATATTTAACGGATTTTTACCCTAAAACGGTCACCTAGAATTTTCGGGACCCTTTTTTCTAGCTGAAATTTTCGAAAAGGTATGTTTCGATCCCTATAATTTTCGAATCACTAGACTTTCAGCTAGGAAATCCGAACAGATAAAAAATTTTTAGGGGATAAAAATATCCCCATATCTATCGTTTAAATACTAAAATACGTTTAACAATGCTATGTTTAAGTGGTTTTGAACTATATTCTCGCTGGGTGCCCCTGTCAAAAGTCGTCTGGTCTCCCAACTCATTTATATTGACTCCGCTCCCTACTTATGCAAACGCACTGCAAACGGTCAACAAACTTCTTTTTAGGGACTTTAAGATAGGTCACTACGGTAGGCTGGGACGGTTGGATGCGTATACGGGCGGCCTGGGGCCATGACGGTAAGAAGCCGCGAAAATTTTCAATTTAAGATCGGACAACAAAACAGAGGACGGTGAAGTCATGTGCGAAACTCGCTTGTAATTTCTTTCGCAGAAGGCTCAATTACTGAAGAAGAGTTTCTTACTTTATACGAAGAATACCAATCAGAAGAAAAAGGGTACAAATTAAAGCTAGCTAGTTTTCAAAACTGTAGTCGATGTTTTTATTTGAACTTTCCTTTCCTAAGCCAACACCTTTTGAGTTAAAGAAATCTTTTCTTGATAAAAATACAGTTTTAAGTTATAAAAAGACGGCTACAATCATCACTGTTAGGCCCAGTTGAAACGTCAAACTTCTCATGTGCCGAAACTAAAGCACAAATAACTAAAATTTATTTTCACTTGTTTAAAGCATTCTAGACCACTGAAAATCGTGAAAATGAATCGAGTTCGACTATACTTTAAGTTCGACGCCTGAATCAACCTCGAACCATTCGGGTCGACCTAAATAGGTATTAAGTTCGGTACATGAAAAGATGAACGTTTCAACTGGGCCTTACCTTTCTTTTCGGCAATTTTCCTCTGCCATGGTGGACGACACTGGGTAGAAAACAAGCAGTCGCCATGCTGCCGCGAGCTAAGTTATGAATGAACTCAGACATTTTCGCTTTTTTTTTCATTTCACCGATAGGTAAATCAATGTAAACACAAGCCAACGCATATTTAACCCATTGGCTACTCAGTTTTTGAAGAAAAGTGACAATAAGTATGCATGAACTCTTAACGGTTTCACCGTTGTCTTCACGACGAGAAACCCGGCGAAAACATACCGTCCTAGAAGTACGACGGTAAAAGGTCACGCGTGTTTTGCGTGACGTGACATCTATCTAACCGTCCCAGGCGACCGTAGTGACCTATCTTAAAGTCCCTTTTGAGTTCCTTTGGGACGGTAAAGGCGACAAGATTAAAAGAGAGCATATTATAAGGGATTATGAGCAGGGTGGTTTGAGGATGATTGATATATACATACGTTCAATAAGTCTCTCAAAGCATCCTGAATAAAGAAGTACTGCACTAACCGATTTGCATCTGACGGGAAGTCCTCTCTAAATTTGCACCCTCTACCGCCATTGATCTCGTTCTTCTTATTGGGAGTTATCTTATATACTCGAGCAAACTTGCAGGTACGTCTCCCTCCATGACTCTTTTTAAAAGTAAACTAAATTCCGTCATTGAGATAGAAAAACAAGAAGCACTCCGCTGTAATTCTTTCACCGTCTTTTCGAACAAATGGAAATTTTTTCTTATTTAAATTTGTTGCTTGCACTTGTTACCCTCTAGCTAATCGCTTTGACTTAGCCATGTGTCCTGCAAAGCTGAGCCATCCACCGTCCACCGTTCACCGTCCATTCCTTTTATTGTAAGTAACTAAGCGAATTCAAGCATAAATGTAACCTCAGCTATTTTTATGTTTGTTTCGTCAAGTTGTAATATGTATACGTTTTGTGCGATGTAAATTTAGCTTAAATAATAAATTAAATAAAAAACTGGAAAAAAAAACACAATTTCGCCAAGTCTTCCCTAAACACTTTACATGTCAAATTTCAAAATTAAAACAGTAACCTGATTCTTACGGCAGGAAGAGTGATAGAAAATAAAGAAAGAAAGCAAAAATAAAGTGGTGAATTATATTTGTACATGCAGTTTGTCCTAAACAGGGTATGTATTTTAAGTTGTTGTTGTTGTTGTCCCATAAACAGGGTCAGGGTCTCAAACCCTCAGCGGCTCACCTCTACCCAGATATTGGACGAGTAACCCCCCCCAAAGGGGGAATGTTAAGTGTCAGGTAGTTGAAAGCCGAAATTATAATTCAGGTTTTTCTTTCTTGTTTTTCAGCGTCTGTGGAGAGTTTTGCTGCTACTTCCAAGTCGTTTATTTTCTCCCTGGTTGACAAGGAAGGACTTGCACCATTCAAGAGCATGGTAAAACAAGCCAAGTCATCAGATGCTATTTACTGTGGGCCAATTTACGGTCCAGTATTTGGTCTGGGCGACATACTCATTTTTGATAATGCCAGTCAGAATACTCATTCCTACTCTAATTTTGGCCGCTATTACTCTCTCCCGAATGGAGTTACTGACCGTCATACAATCCTGGCTGGAACCAATAACTTTTCACCTGACGAGGTTGAGGTATTTTATCTCGCTTGAGTTCCGTTCAGTCTTTTTATCCCCAGGCACGCAGAAACCATCAGAACTCAAAGAAAAACTACACCCCCAAAAAATCACTTTAAAACGTATTGCAAAGCAGAGAGCATCGGAATGACTCAACATTTTGATTACTCTATTGATTCATGGCCTTAGTTCATTATTTAAATTGAACGGCACGCACGTACGAGTTCGGTGGTCTGTGACACGATCGGAAGCTGTCTGCGAGTATCGTAGTTTTTAGTCGCAGTATCCTGGACATCAAAAGCAGATGCATTTTAATTTAGCGATTACAGACTTTCCAGGTTTTTTCAGTCGTTTTGGTGCAAAAATGGTGCCAAACATAAGTCTACGACGCGACGCAGACCGGTCTCCGATCTGTGTTTACATTTGTTTTTCATTTACGCGTCCACACGTGGCGTATTTGAATCGTGTCTGCCCGTCCACACTTGAAAACGCTTAAACGATAAAATAGCCTGTATAACAGGCGCTTTATAAGACAAGCGAGGCGAATGCGGCATTTTGCACGAAGCGCGTGACGAGGCGAGGAGAAAAATAAAGCGCCTGTTACCAGTCCATTGTTGTGGCTTTTCCCACGTTTACTACATGAACGTTGCGTTCATAAGCTCGTCACCTTTGAATTTGGTTTGAACAACACGTTTTCCCTCTTTTCTTTCTCGCCGCTGTGGTTGGACATAAACTAAACTTTGACTGAGCAAATCTTACTTTTGCCTCACTGAGTCTTTGTCCTCGCAGTTATTTCCTGTGGGTTATAATTATGCTACTGTCGGTGTTTCCGGTAGCCAGAAAGGCGACAATTTTCGTGTAATAGATCGTGTTTTGATTGGTGCTTTTGATATCACCGCCGTCAGTCAATACTTGTGGGTGTAGGATGGCCGGAGAGCCACAGCAATGGACTGGTGACAAGCGCTTTATTTTTCTCCTCCCTCTTCTCGCGCTTCGGGCACGTTTCGCAGGTTTTTTTTTGAAAATGCCGCGTTCACCTCGCTTGGCTAATAAACCGCCTGTTATGCAGGCTAACGATAGCCTCCCCGCAGACGTCCTTTGGGGTTGGATTGTCACGCATTAGGCTAACGATAGAAAGAGACGAGCATTCAGTCCATTGTAAGGTTCCACCGGACATAACAAGGGCACCCGGCCAACGACGGTTTCCTCTTAAATACACTGGAAAAACTCTTTTTAAGTTTTCCAGCGTACTTTTAGATCTCTAGAAATGCATTCTGAGAGGCGCTTTCCAGTCTTTTCGAAATTACAAGGGCTCAGTTCAGAATTATTTCCATAAAATTTTAGATGCAATTTAACGTTTTACGAAAGTGATAATTTCTTTTTATACCTCTCTCCATCGCATTTTTAGATCGGAAAATTTTAAGTTTCGTTTTTCTACGAAAATTAGGGGGACTGAGTATAAAATATGAGAAATTGAACTTTAGAAAATCGTAGGGAACTTATTACATAAGCTTCGAAAATTGTACCTGAAAGGAATGGTAACCTAACAATTTTTAGTCTTTCCCCAGCAAGGAAAATTCTGGGCAATATTTGCTTCTCCGAACAGATAATTCACCGAAAACAGTCGTTGGTTACCCCTGACACAAGTTTTGACACAGCAAGGAGTGTTCCATTAATTTAGTATAAAAAGTGTAATTGTTTGTGTTTATCTTCTATACCAATTCTTCACGGTAATTCTGAGTTCGATTATTGTTGAATCGCGTTTGGTTCCAATTACGACCAACGAATATATCATTTCTTGTTTGATTTATTGTACACATGATATTTCAACTTGTGGGTTGAGGAACAGTTGCTAGGGTCAATCGGGATCCATTGCTACATAACGTGACTTAATTTTAGAAGCTTTATACATCAAGTGTGCATGCTGAGTTTCTTGTAATGATCAAGTATTTGAGTCGATTGTAAAATTTCCTTTGAAAAAGTAAGACGTGATTAGATAACACCATCCTCGGAGACCCAGGAGCTGCTAATCTGGACGATAGAATGTTGAAGGTTAAAGTTTACTATGTGATCGAGAAGAGCCCCTGGGCTCGGTTGCATAAAGCCTGCAATTAAGTGCCCACTTAATTTTATATCAGCAGGAGAAAATGCTTCATCATTAAAAAAAAAACAAACAAACAAAACAAGAAACTTCGATGTAAAATATTTCTCGGAGGTAAACAAAGCACATTAGAACGGATTTAGGGAAAGAAAAGACTTTTTTCACTTCTCAGTAAAAGATCTCTTTAACTGCTATTTTTCCCGTAAATGAAGTTTTATGTAACACCCCCCATGCCAATTTCCGTTGCATAAACGATTCTTAAGTGACAACAATTAAGAAAATCGTAAGTGCAGCCACTTGACTGAATTCCCTAAGTGGACCACCTAAGTGATTTAATGCAACTCACTTTAAGCTACGAGTACACGTACGTATACCCGTAACTGTTACGGGAGTTTCATGCAACCGGGCCCTGGGCACTTTCTCTTATGGAAGCGAATGAATTGCCTGCTTCTGATTGGCCAGAAAATAAATTTCTAGTGTATCAGCGAAGCCGAGCAGCCGGGTGACTCTTTGCAGGTGTTTTCTAACACCACGTGGGTTTCCTCATCAATCGCCATAGTTATTACGTAGCGCGTTCAACGAGGAAAGTCTCAGAACAAAATGTTAACGAAGCCGAAAAAATAATGCCTTTGCGATTCTATCGCGCTTTTCAAAAACACGCGAAATCTGAAGCTCAAAAGCCAACTGGTGTTTGCGTTTTTCGCTGCTGTCAATCATCTTAGCGGACCTCATGGGAAAAAACTTTACTTAAATGGGTTCAAAAGGTCATGGTTTGTGATTTGTGACTGGTGGATTTCGATCCGGTTTGTGTGTTTCTGTGTTTCAAGATCCCTTGCTTGTGATCGTAATTATGACTGACGGCAGCGGAAAACGCAATTGTGAAGACTATAGAGTGTATTCACATGACACTACGGTGGCCATACTTATGTGAAAAAACTTATTTTGTTCCGATAAATTTGCACAGATCCTCGCCACGTGAGTGAATACGCTCCATAAGACGGCTTTTGAAGTGTAGAGTTCACATGTTTGTGAAAAGCGTAGTAATACAAGTATGGGCATTAACTTCGTGTTCCGGACACAAATGACGTAAAACAAAAGAACAAAAAAATCATGAAACAAGACGTTTTCCTAATTGTTAGTCTTCGTCGTTTTTAGCTGAGATTTAATAGTAATAATATTAATAATAATATCAATAATAATAATAATAACAATAATAATGGCTTTATTCAGCATTTCCACTAGGTGGCTTTTCATTTATTTAAAACTTGTTTGCTGTAAACTAAAGTAGAAGGAGCTTTTTATAGAGAAAACCTTGACCTTTCGCATTTATTCCAAAAACAGTAGAAATAATAGTATCGAAAATTATTATAATAATAAAAAATAAATGAATATGTAAATTCAAGTAAGTTAAAAAAACGGATCACAAAGTAATGTCGTATGAGAAAATACCGGTAAGTTAACCAGGACCATCGATCGTAGAAAACATGTAGTATTGTATGTATAGACGTCTTAGGAAAGTGGCTAAACACAAAATTCTTTATGCCTACCAATAAAAGAAACTAAAATAGTTAAAGAGTGTATTCATCATACCAACCATATGTTTACAAGACAAAATTATCACTCAGATAAATTTTTGAAGAGGAATCCCAGCACCAACTTTCGAGAAAAAAATTTAAAAAAAAACAAGTAAACGAAAAGACAAAAACGAAAGACGGCTTTGCCTGTCGACTCCTGGCAGCCTCAGTTTAATTTCGATGCTTTATTCGCTATAACATTGAGTAAATCCCCTTTGAATTTCTAAATACGAGACTTTTTACTTTATTAAATGTAAACGTTGTAGTTAATTTTTTTTTACCTCACGTAATTTTTATTTTTCTTATTGTTTTAACTTCATTAGCGTACATTAACATACCCAAAAGTAAAAGAAAGCCAAAAATTACCTGAGATAAAAAAAAATAAAAACAAAAAAATAATAATATAACTACAAAATATGTGCTGGACGGATTTAATTTTAACCATGGTATTTGTGTGATGATTACACTCTTCAAGGTACCTTTTATTACCTGACATGTGAAAGTTTTTACCTGTCAGGTTACGGATGTTCCTTGTATGTCATAATTCATATAAAGTGATTAAAAGCTCTTAGACTCAACACGTGCGCATGCTCGAGAACGCCATTCCAATACAACTCAACTTTCAGAACTGTGAAACGAGAGCAAATAGAAATCAAAGATTGGGATGAGATTAACTCTCACGGGATTGGCGTGCCTAGTCCTGGTTCTGCGTCTTCCTAGTCTTCTCGGTCAATGCGTTTCGGTGAAGTATCCAACGCTCAACAAGAACTTATTCAGACCACGTGATCCGAAACGCTTCAGACGCGCGCAATAATGAGGCCTAGGGACTAGGCAACGGATAGGCTTGGTCGCTTGGTTAACCAGCATGGCTGTCGTTCATTGTTTTGGAGGGTTGTCCTGCAGCTATTTCAATTTGATTGGCTGGGAAAACAATAGGGATGGTGATATAACAATGCCCCTATCCCTGAAAACAATGCGTAGTGCAGGTTATAGGGACCAGTGAAATAAGAGGTTTGGATAGGGGCAGGTCAATCGGTTTTGGAAATAAGACAAATAAGGCCGCGGCAACGTCATATAAAAACGCACTTTCAGAAGCTACAAGCTGTCTGAAAAGTTGAAAATAGTGTGTTGAACTTTGGCTAATGCAAGCTCGGGCGCATATGTCAGTAAAAAAAGAACTAGTATTAATAGAAATCGAAGAGCTTTTAAGAGGTAACCCATCCTAAAGGACCTTTACTACCAAATGTTGTTGTCTATGCTTTTAAAGTTTGGGAAACGCACGTTGTAATAAAGAGCACTTTGTACACCAGCTTTTTTGTTTGTCATTCGTTTTGATGCCTTGTAGAAACCCCTGTGTCTCT